AGAGGTGGAGTGTGGGGAAGGCAAGGCTTGGCAGATAGACTGGTTTGGCATTGCAAAGTGGGAATGCCTTGGCAGCACGTGCGTGGGGTGGGTGCATCCACCAGCCCTGACACTGCTGTTTCCCTGGAATCCAAGGAGCAGGATGGGGCATCCCTAGGGATGGTGTTTGTAAGCTCTTCAGGTGTCTGGGACTCGCTGGTGAGGTGGGCTGGGGTGACTTTCCTGGTCTAGCTTGGGTTGCAGTAGAGGAGGGGTTGAGGTACCTGCTTTGGCTGAAATGGGTGGAGACCCCTCTGCATTCCTGATTGGACACTGCCATGCTCCCCCAGAGCTTCCCAGCACCATAGAAGGGGCTGAAGGGACGTGAAGAGGGTGTGTTGTTCACCCTGCTGCCCCCAGATCGCTGCCACGTCACGGCTGGACACACCTTTATCCAACTACTCTCAAAGCTCCTGAGGCTGGAGGCTCCCTGCTCCTGGGTGCTGCCCTTTGGCACTAGGTGGGCATCCCAAAAGATGGAAAAAACCCCCCATCTGTCTGAGCCGAGCAACTGGCACGCCCTGTGGGAGTGGGCACGTGGAGGGTGCCTGTGGGGTGCCCAGATCCGAGTCGTGCACCCACAGGACCCACGAGATGCTGTGGGTGTGCCGGGGTGGGATTCACCCCTCAGGTGGCCGTGCTCCCTTGCCAGCCTCTCCACTGCCCTCCACGGGAGTGCCAGCTTTTATTTATGGTGCCAAAGATAACGCTTCGTTTACTCTCCAAGGAGCATGAGGAAAGGACCCCCTTCCCCCTCAAAAATGGGCTGTGATGTCCTTCCTCCCAAATTCCCAGCTGCACCACCTTCTTCCCCCCCCCAAATTCAGTGGTGGCCTGGGCACTGGTGCTTTATTGCATTAGGAATATTTGCAGTGGTTCCTTGCTGTTCCTTGGAGCAGAGGCCCCTCACACCCCATGGCTGGGGTCCCTTTGGGGGGGAATTTGGGCAAGGGGGGGCTGCGCTGCAGGTGCTAACCCTGACCTCGAGCTGAGAGGTTGGGGGAGAATTCAAAGCAGGGTGTGATGAACCCCCGCCTTGCTGCTGCTCTGGGGCAGTGATGCTGCACCCAGCACTGGGTATTTCATGGAATCCTGGAATGGCTGGGCTTGGAAGGGACCTTAAAGCTCATCTAGTTCCAAACCCCTGCCACTGGCAGGGACACCTTCCACTAGCCCAGGCTGCTCTGAGCCCTGTCCAACCTGGCCTTGGACACTTCCAGGGATGGGGAATTTATTCCAGCTGAGGGCGGGCTGAGCTTGGGTAGCTCTGGCTACACAGGGATTTGGTCCTGTCTCCAGGAGGAGAGGATGACTCTGGTCCCCTTCATCCTCCTGGGCCTGGCAGAGCCACCGAGTCATTCCTGTGATGTAACCCTTGTCCAGCGTTACCACGATGTATAAAGTTTTGTACATACGAGATTCAGAGCTTTTTAACTTTTAATATTTATTAATTTTGTTGGTTTTTTTTTTTTTTTTGGAACTCTAACATAATGTAAAAAAAAAAAAAATAAATCCACGTAAAAATCTCTGTTTATTTATCTGTGGTGCGTGTGAAGGGGCAAATACAAACAGCTGTTGAAATGGGTTTATTTTATGTTATTTCAACCTAGCCACTCCTCTTTATCAGCCAGAATTTCACATTGCTGTTTTGAGCAGGGGAAAAAACCTTTATGTCTATACATAACACACACACATTAATAGGTGGTTTGGCCATCACAAAAATAAACATTGATGTGTTGCTAGTTCAGACCAAAAAGCTGGTCCTATGTGATGCTGGACACCTGCTGGTTTTGAGCAGAGAGAATCGTGGAGTGGGTTGGGTTGGAAGGGACCTCAAAAATCATCTCGTTCCAGCTCCCTTCCATGAGACCAGGTCGCTGTCCCTGCCCACATTCATGGCTGCAGGAGGAAAAAGGGGTGATTTTGCAGCCTTTTTATTTTATTTATTTATTTATTTTTATATCTGGGATGGGAGCTTCTCGGTGCCCTTTCTTTTCCAGAAGGCACAGGTAAGTGGTAGCAATAAATAAGCAGAGGCTGAGGAGCATCTGAGCCAGCCCAGGTGAGCAAGGAAAGACTTTCTGGAGCTGGGAGCCAACACAACCTGGACTGTCTCTGTCTTTCCTTCTCTGCAATGTCTCTCTCTCTTTTTTTTTTTAAATTATTATTATTACTATTATTAATTTTATTTTTTTTTGGATCTCTTATTCTGTGATCTGATAGAGATTTATTATTTCTCTTTGGCATTATCGTGTCTCTGCACTTGGAAACTGGACATCAGCTAGCTAAAAAGTTACCAGAGGACTGACAAGTGAACAAATGCCCAATAAATCTTATTCACCTAGAACACTAGTTAAAAAAAGCAACTTCCTGCATGTAACAATGTATTATCTGCTTGGAATTGTCCACCACTTTGGCAAATTTGGATTCCATAGGTCCCTGATGTATAAAAATCCCCATACCACATACTGCATATGTACAACCTGTAATTTTCCTGGTTCTGCTTCTGTGGCTGATCACATCTGATTGGTGGACTTTACTGCAGGAAATCTTGGAAGCCTCGTTTGGTCCTTGCTGTTTCTTCCTCCCACTTGTAACAATACTCACGTTGTTTTCTTTACTTCCTTTATTGTATCACACATTAGGAAGTACATAATCCTGGTGCAAAAAGATTAGTTCTAAAAATGAGAACTCAAATTTAACTTTGTTGATAATCCCAGGGGGATGACTATAGGCCTTAATCCTGCTTCAAGGAAGGAGGATGAGAACATTTATTATGTGCATCCAGAAACGTCAGGAAAGCAATTGCTTGGTCAAACAAATGATTAACTCAGTTCCAGTTCAATAAAACAGTTCAAAAGGTGCTTAGTTTGGATTCAGTGGAAATTAAGAACATGCTTCGAGTCTGGAGTGGTTTTCCTTTAATAAGGAAGTTTTTCCCCCTAAATTATTTTGAATTAATTTTTTATATATGGCTGATCCAGTTGGGCCTATAAGAGACAAACTGCCAGCTCCAAGAGGTCTGTGCTCTCAGCCAAAGCCTTTTAAAAAGTCAGTGGAGACATACCTGGTTGGTGTCAGTGGTTATAAAATTGAAAGTCTCCCTGGTCTATATTGGGAAGGGCAATTCATGATTGATTGTGCTCAGCTGTGCCTTGTTATGTGAAAATGCAACCCTGCCAAACAGTGAAGGCTTTCTCTAAGGCTTGTCCTGATCTGTATGTAAATTAACTATTTATGTTTGACTTGCTTCAGTTTTAGGAGAACGTGGGAATTTATGTTGTATCCATAAATAAGCACAGAGGGAGACAAATTCACCACTGATATAAAATTGCTGATTAGTGAATTGCTTTTCTTAAAAACTAGAGCAAATTCCAGCTTTGAAATTCCACGTGGAGGCTTTAAATTTGGATCATGTTAACGGATTAGCCTTGAAAAAAGGGACCAAACAAGGCTCTGTGTGAAAAAGTAGAGGTTTCTACCCCTTCCCCCGGGCTCCCCCAACCAGAAGACAGTAAGGAAAAAAATCTATTAGAAAATATGTAAGTCAGAATTGCAGCTGCAATGGGATTATATTCTCCCCATTCCTGATCTTCTCTCATGTATCTGTTTATGCTAATAAAGAATGGGATCCAGAAAAGGAGACATCAGGCGTGATTAATTAAAAACAGAGGGCACGTCCTTGCAGATAGTAAAGATTTTGTTGTGCATTAAGTGAAAAACTTGTGATTCTCAAGTATCTACAACTGTACTCATCCTCTGAATATTTCCTAATGCTCTTTCTTGTGGATTTTTTTCCTGTGGCAGATCTTTACAAGATCTGCCACAGGAAAAAAAATCTACAAGAAAGAGCATTAGGAAATATTGTTTTCACTGTTCCCCAGCCATTTCTCTCTCCTGCACCCATTTACATGAATGAGAAGAATGAACTCCCTGATCCTTGACCATCCCTCCTCTGTCTGCTGTTGGCTCCTCACAGTTCCCTTCAGGAGCTGTGACAGGTGAATGCAATCAGAAGAGCTGAGGGGGAAAGCTCCTCTTCTGTGGGAAATCACAGATTTCTACAGTCAGATGGTTCATATCAGTGTCTACACTGGCAGGTCAACGTCGGTGTACAAAGTGGGAGTGGCTGAGTTGATGGAATCCGCACATAAAAACATGCAGGACTGTAAGGTGGCACTTACATCCACCTCACACTGCTCTTCCTCCAACCATAAGAACTGTGTGCAAGGGTTGAGAAGTTAAATCAGCCTCACGGAATTTAAAAGCTTCTCACAGTAAGAGTAGCAGTTCATTAAAAAAACAAAACCAAACAAAAAACCCAACAGAAATCAACCACCCTCTGTTGAAGCCTAAAGACCAAGTCAGAGGAAAGAACAGAGGGATGAAGAGCAGAGGATGTATTATCACATATTTGCAGATCTATCTGCTTGAAATCCCTTCCTGGGGCCTGGGTGAGGGATGTGAGCAGGACACTCCCTAAGCTAATTTGGCCCTTATTATTCACTGTTGGTAGTCCAGGCTGGCAGGGATGACATTAATGGAAGAAGTGCCAGGGTGATTAAAAAGGATTTCAAGGCTCTGTGTCGAGTAGTTAATGAGGCAGGAGCACAGGTGGTGTTTGCCTCAGTCCCTGCAGCACCTTCCCGGCTGAAGGGGAGCCCTCACTGCAGTCTTAACTGATGACAGATGAAATTCACCAACTACTGAAAAAGCTTGCCTGCCTTCTAAAAATATACTCCCCAAAATACCTATTGTTTCACTAAGGTGGAGAGACCCCAAGAAAAAAATTACCCACCTCTTCAAAATACCTGTATTTGATTACATCAGAACTCAGAAGTCCTAACAGGTCACATATTTTCCTTTTCCTTCTGGCCTGTCCCAAATGTGACAACATCAAGGGAGAAGTGTTTTTATGTGTCCAAACAAAACCAGAGAATAAAAGTTCCAATAAAGGTACGTTCATACAAAACTCACATGGTCTTTACTTAAATGTAACATCAGTGACATACACAGGTTAACAGGTACAAAAAGACAGCTGCATGAAATGGAAGTTAGTCTATTTCTTGTGCCTGTTATTGAAATGCAGAACATTTGTCTTCACTACCGATACCACGGGAGGTAACAAAACACAACATCACTAACTCAGATTTCAGCTTTTATTTACAGAACTTGGATGGTAACGTCGTAGAATATTCTTTCTTTTATAAAAAAAGTATCTTATAAAAGCTGGCTGTTAATCTACCGTTACTGGAGAGCTGTGCTGATGTGAGTATCAGTATTCATAGCTTGATTGCTGTTCTACAGTTCAGCCTATACCTGCATTATATTTCAGTCAGTTCTGAGTTTTCAGTGATTCCTTCAGTCAGTTCTGAGAGACAATGACTCCTCTCTTACCTGATCACCTTTCCAAGGGACCCTTCCTGTGGGTTTTTAGGGCTTTCAAATTTCAGTGCTAATACTGACTGCAGCATTAACATGGCAGGATAGAGACGTGACAACCAAAAGGGATTCAATACAAAATACTCAGCCATTTTACTCTTCTGCTTTTTTCAACTTTAATTTTGCCTTTTTACCCAAGGAAGTTCTGGCTGTCTCAGCTGCCTTTGCAGTTTCAGCAGGCTTCTTTCTTAGCCTTTTCTTTTTGGAACGCACCAGGTCCTCACGTCCCAGTTCAAGCATTTTTGCTTCCCACAACTTCATTTCATTCTCATACCGAACCTTATCATCTTCAGAAAGCTGCAGGTATGGCTGGAGGAAAATAAGGGGTCAACAAGTTATTTACAGAAGGGGCTTTGTCTGGAAAACTGCCATGACACAAAGGTGACTTGGAACAACACCTGGGCACTGGCATGGCCAGGTATTTGCCTCCGCCTCCAGATAATTCATTAATTAAAAAAACCAAACTTGCAGAAAAATACAAAACTTTAGCAGGCCTCCTTTTCTCATATGGCCCTCTGCAGATTCCTATTTCAATATACTGAGAAAGCTGGCAGAAAATGACCCCCCAGACAACCAAAGTTAATAAATTACCCCATGCACGTCACTTGACTTTAGATTCGTTGCTTTTCCCTGACTAAAGTCTTTCTATGAGCAGCAAATTATTATGATGGTGCTTAAAGATATTATTTATTATTATTAAAAAAAAAAATCAAATTGTTGCACGTTATTCCACCTTCCCCTCCAGACACTGCTCAGCATCCACCAGCAGGCACACTGAACTTCCATCCTGTCCCACTGGTTTACTCTTCAACAACACTGTGAATAAAATGGTCCCTACAGGAATAAAGGTAACAACAATCTTTTTCAAGATGCATGAAGATCTTAAGAGTATTTTCCTCAGTATTCTATTTTGAGCAGCTTGAGTTCAAGATTTTGTATAAATACATCAATTTTGACTCAAGTTTGTCATTTTCTGATTACATCAGAGCCTCGTCCAAATCCACTGACGTACCTGCCTCTGAGAAGCGGACAGTTTTTGCCAGGCATCAAACACCTTCTTCAGCCTTGCCTACGGGATAGAGAACATGCAATACAGGAGGGTTATTTTAGGAACAGACTGACCTCAGAGGGGTACAGATGAGTGCCAACACAAGTGAAAGTCGGGCATAAAGCAATGCAAAAAAGCACAAAGTCACACAGGCTTAACCGCCCACCCTTTTAATGTAGGAAAATAATACACTATACACTTCAAAACAAGCTGCTGGGCATCACCTGAGCCATGTTTACAGCCCGGGCCTTGTACATGGAAAATCGAGGACCAAACCAGATCCACCATCCCAATTTACTGACTGAATGTGTAGAACTTGTGAGTTTGCTGAGGAGCTCTGGCATACTCTGTAACACCACCCGAGCTGTGGGAGGTACAGTAAACTGCTACTGCAGGAACAGGAGCAGTCCACCACAACTCTGTGAAAAAATAATGTATTTCTACATCAAAACAGAGAGAAGAATAATTCTCCCCTTACAGAAGGAACAGATGAAGTCTGTAACACTGAAGTGCAAAAGATACTGCAAATATTTTAAGTCTGTATGCCCACACAACAGTTTATAAAGGCCATGCCAGCAGCAGTATACAGCCAGATCACTGCAGCCTAAAAAAGGTAACCTAAGCAAAGCAACATCCTGATATTGAACTATTGGAACAGTTTCTGTGAAAATGACAGAATCTAAGCCAGATTTTTCTGAATGCAATGGATCTGTTTCAAAAAAACAATCTTTCCTGGCTTACCGTAGGTGAAACTCCCTCACTTTCTTGAAATTTTTCTGACACGAAAATGTTAAGGGCAGTACGAGGTCTTTTAGGTTTTCCAAGCATAGCCAATTCCTTTAAAAACAACAAGAAGAGTTATTCCATCCACCAAGCATGCATTTTTTCCCAAAACTAAGCTTACCACTTGTCTTTATATTTTACACAGATACCAAAAACAACTTCGCTCTTTGGTGTTTTATTCTGTAAACTGGACCGTATGTCATGATGCTCTCAGTGCTTGCCAAGACTAATGCTAAACTAAACTAAGAAAAGGTGACAACCTGAGTTTTCACAGACACAGGAAAAGCATTTTAAACTGATTCTTACTTCAGCTAAGTCTTCCAGAAACCAAAGACTGTTATTAAATTCCATTCTGTAAGAAAGTCCTGTTGATAGGTTTCCTATTATTCTCCATAAGGCTTCTGTTTCTGCAGTGAAATACTGCCTGCTTGCAGAGAGGAGGGCAGCTGGTGGACTGTGGGAGGTGAGAAGGTGGAACAGAACCAATTTCCAGGGAAACAGAACTGGGTTTCTGCTATCAGAACACTCTGCCTGCGGGGATGATGGCACGAGAAGGAAAGTACAGCAAGTTATGAATGCAATTATACTTCCTGTTTTCTCCAGTCCCGACATTCCCACTGGAGCCTGGGTGCTGCAAATTAACATCTGCTTAGGTATTAAATATGCTAGCTAAATTCCTTGTGGTGCCATACTCTAAAAAAAGGAAGGGATCAACCCCATCATTTAGATTAAAAACTTCCTCTAAGTAGAGGTCTTTTAAAGCAAAATTATTTCACTTTTGCTAGCTGGGGCAATGTCACACCAGCAGTTTAATTCACAGAAATGAGCAACCAACAGGTAACCCCTTTGACTGATTTTGCCACCCAGATGGTTCTGCCTCTCAGGATTTATGCACAAACCAGCTAGAAAGGAACAGGGAAGATGCCAGAAAAGGATACTAGTAAAGAGATGCACCTCTGCAGCCCTAATTCACCACGGCAGCAGCGACACAGACAGCAAAGTGGCAGAGCCCAAAGAAAGGAGGGGAAAAAAGGCTGCTTCAAAGAGCTGCTGCCTGGTAGGGGCCAACGAGGTAAGAGACACAAGGCCCTCCTGAAAAGCTATTTCTGGATGTCTTCCTGTCCAAAGAAAGCCTTGCTGGTCCAAATGTCTTTTATTACCTATCCTTTCTCTGGCAGCTCTAGGAATAGGGAGAAAAAAGCGTAGAGAAGCTACTTTTAAGCACAAAGAGATGTGCTAGTTCTGTGTTCTTCAAGCACGGGAAAGCCACGACATCAGCACTCATATTTATTCCGTGGCATTTTTGGGGCTTTGTGTTTGTTGTGTGTTTTGTTTTATTCTGAACTGGTTCTGTGTTTCTAAAAACACGCTTCAGCTCTGCTCTGTACACCAGGCAGACTTCAGCTTCCTTGAGAGAAAAGAAACTTGAACTTCAAAACACTTACTCTTTTTGCCCGGAGTGATCTTCTCCTTGCCAGCTGTTTTCTCCTCTCCTCTTTCAAAGCTGCAACCTGGGCTGGAGTTAGCTGGGCTTTGTATTTGGTCAGCTGCTCTTCATATCTTTGCCAGTCTGTCTTTCCTGCTTCCTTGTAAACCTACGGCACAAATCATCATCAGCCTTAAACAGATGCTTTCAGTCAGAAGCACTCGACAATCAGACAAGTTACCACTTCTAATCTAAGGGGGGAAAATTAAGACTGGAAAAAATTACCCCATTCCCCATCCCCCTGTGCCGCTGGCAGGTGGAGGTAGAGAAACAGAGAACGAAATTGAGCCTGGGAAGAACAGGAGGTGGGGGGAAGGTGTTTTAAGGTTTTGTTTTTCATTAGCCTACTCTGATTTGATTGGTAATAAGCTGATTTCCCCAGGTAGAGTTTGTTTTGCCCTGACTGGGCAGTAACTGGTGAGGGATCTCTCCCTGCCTTTATCCTGACCCACAAATATTTTGGTGTATTTTCTGTCCTCTGCCCAGCTGAGAGTGGCTTTGCTGGGCACTCAGTGTCCAGCCAGGGCCAACCCACTACACTGTGGTGCATTGATGTCTGAACCTTTGACCACACACATGCTTTTTAAACTGTTGTTTAAAAAGTTTAAAAACAAACCAACGAACCAAATAAAACGTCACCACACTTAATAAAAAAATCCACAAGGGACACCAAACGAAATAAAACCACCACCAAGATTGTATAGAGTTCAAAGTACTCAGGGCAAAGACACACTCTTACCTGCTTCTGTGATGCTGGTAACTCCTTCCAAGCACCTGCTATTATTTTAAGCAGGTCCACGCTGTTCACTTCTGTACATTAAAACGAGAAAGCATGAAAAAAAAAGATCAACATTGTATCTGCAGCGAGGCCCTTCAATTTTCCCACGGGAAGCTGTCACAAGTATCTTTTTCCCCGTACAGTCATTTTCATCCTGCCATAAAACTACCTCGCTGCGGCAGCTAAAGGGAACTGCAGTGTTCTGGGGAGGGGAAAGGCACTGCTCGTGGCTCAACCTGCAATGAAACAACGCATACAGGCCCGAGAACCACAAATAAATCACTGTTAGCACGTATCGCCCAGGTGAGACCCTTCAGCGGGCATTTTTAGAGTTATACACAATTTTTTGAGTTACGAAGCACAGAAGACGAAGCCAACACACGTGCAGGCAGTAAGTACGGCCACGCCACATTCGCTTGGGGCACGTCATGGATAAAGAGGCAGGATGGGTCTCTAAAATCAGGGTAACAGAGTTTAGTTCCTTCAAGCCGTTCGGTTTTACACGCACAGAGGCTGCTCCGAACCCAGGCTCAGCGCCGCTCGGGGGGCGCAGCCACAGCGCAAACCGCGGCCCCGCGGATCTCGCCTCCCCTCCCACCTCGTACCTGGGTTCTTCTCCTTGAAAGCCGGCCGGTTCTCCTTCATGAAGCGGAAATAGGCGGTGAGGGGCCGCTTCGGGCGCTGCGCCGAGCTGATCCCCCGCCACAGGCACTGCTCCGCCGCGCCGCCGGCCCTGCGCAACAACGGCACGGCCGGTCACCGCCGCCCCGCCGGGGCCGCCCCGCGCTCCCCGCAGCCCCAATTCCCCCCGCTCCCGCAGCCCCCCGCGATCCCGCACCTGAGGAGCCGCCGCCCGCCCGCCACCAGCCCCATGCCCAGGCCCGCGGCCCAGCCCAGCAGCGCCGCCATGCCCAGCCCCGCCGCGCATGCGCGGGGCCGCAACACGGGGCGGGGCCGCGGCGCCCTCACAGGGGACCCGGCGGGAGCGAGTCCTTAATTAATAAAATTCGGGTGATGAGCTGCGGCCGAAAACTGCACGGTTTCGCCGGTTTCCTCGTACGGCTGCGTCTAAAACGAAACGCAACGCAACGTAGCACCAACCGGCTCTCGGGGAGGGGAAACGAAATTTTACTTCCTCCCCCCCCCCCGTTTTTTTCTTTTTTTCTCATCGTAGTGTAATAGAAGGGTTAACTTTGTTCATAAAATCTTATGTGTATGAGGGAGTCAGAAAGTTTTTGTTGTAATTAAACAAGAGGAGTTTCACAGACAGCTTGCTAATCAAGCAAGTGTCAATAAACAACTGATAAGAACTGCACCTTTTCATCTCTGACAAATACCGGACTACCACTTACCCAGCCACCGAACTCAAGCAACAAACAAATTTACACCCGAAAAGCCAATGCCAGACACCACTTAACATGTACTTAACAACCACGAACGTGTATAAAAAGAGACACTGACTTCATTTCGGTGTGTGCCTCGGCAGGGCACTTGCCCTCCAGGCCACCCAGCGCTGTTCTGCTTTATTATCGCTTGCTTAATAAATTTACCAATGTTTAATTGGAATTGAGTTGTCTAAATTCTTGTACTAACTTATAACAGTAGTAAACAGCACAGAACGGAGTAATGTTTCGGCTCTAAATTCCCCGCGCCCCCCCTTAAAACAGCATTCCTATGAAAAGGTATCAACAGAGGAGTTCCGAAGGAGCAGCAGTGGAGATGTTTACCTCCGAATTTAAAACGCAACGAGCGAAGTTTTGAACAATATATTTACCGTTTCATTCCCACAGTTTAAAAAGCGGAAGGGCCGAACTGCTGCCCCAAGAATCGCAGACTTACGGTCGCGTTGTTTTAGAGGTGCGAAGCTAAGACATCCCTTTTTTAATATCCGCATACAATATCTTAACAACGTGGGTGTCGGTGTCGCATCCTTCTGCTGGTTTCACATGGTGACGCAAAGTCATCCTTGTGTCGCGTGGCACGCACCAGAAACATCGCCAGCTGAAGCACAAATGCGTTCAAACCGCCCCTAACGCAAGCTTTTGGTTATCCGAGAGAAAGCGAGTATTCCAAAACACGAGTCAAACTTGGGAGTTTTCATACGGTTCAGCGCAGGTATTGCAAACATTTAAATCACTTCTCATACAAACAGATTACTGCTGATCCAGACAAATATAAAAGCTCTTGGGAGCACATTCTGTCAAAGTTTTTACCACCGTTTTGAGTAAGAAGTATAAACGATGGCTTTGCTTTCCTAGCTGCACTGTCTTGGTTCAGATATAATAAAGCATTTTATAACCAAAAAAAAAAAAAAATTCATTTATTCAGTTTGCAAACTGAATAGGGATATTTTAAGATTAACAGAGCCACTCTCGATCGAGCTGTTGTTTCAAGTCTATCACATCATAGACAAAATTGTAAGACAGAAATTACATTTTCCCTTCAGGTCAGTAAATTGGCAAACACAAAGATGAATATTCCACCGGTAGGAGAAAAAAGCTCCTACTGTGCACACTTACCACCCATACCCTAAATTCCAATTTAGCATATATTAGAATAACAAAAAATAACCCCAAATCAAATATATTTCTCATCTTAAAAATGTATTTTATGGTGACAAATTTCCCCAACTGGAAGTCGGTTTTCTTTCACGGGCGAGGTACAGAGAAAAAAACATTTAGTCATCAATTTTTATTTTCAGATTACCAAAAAGAATTCACGGTAGGAAATCAAGAGTTTTTCTGCTTCTAATCTACCTTTTAAGAACAGATGCCCCCTCTCCAGCACTACAGGTTTTCCACATGCATACTCTGAAGCAACTGAAGAGCCAGTTAATGGAAAAGTTAAACTCCTTCAAGTGTGAGGAGTTTACTGTACCATCCTGATATTGCACATACACCACCTGAACTAAGTGGCTGATGTTCAGACACTCGTCGTTACCTCCTCCATAGATGAATACGAGTGTAAAATGGCCTTAAACTACTTGAAATCCTATATTCAGCAGTGGGCATAGCATGCTAAATCCATTAGGCTAAAGCTAGCATAAAGATTAATTGCAACCCTGCTCTAAGTAGTACATGATGCATAGATTTGTCCTTCTGTCTACAAGACACATGCACTTATACTGTTGGTGATTCTCTACTGTCAGAACAAGTTTTTTTCTTTAAAGAGATGCACGAGTTAAAATAAAATAAAAAAAAAAATCAAGAAAAGTAGTAGAAAATGCATTTTATTTATAAGGAAAAGGCTACATTTAGATTTGTAAAAGGTCTGTGATAGTGTTACGTCGAAAATCAGTTGTGAATAGCAACAAAATGGTTACATATCTCTCTACATAGCAGTGCAATTAGTTCTCATTGCAATAAAATTAAGTATGCAACAGAATCAAAACCAAGTGTTTCTCTATAATCAGCATACAAAGAATTACAGTGCAAAGATCATTTTAGGTTTTAAGAAATCTGCAGTCAGTCTTTAGAATATCCTAAGGGGTGGGATACTCCGATTATTTTCATTACTAGCAGTTGTATCTTGTCAATACTGTGCACAAGCAAGTCAGTCTAAAATGAAATTTTACAATTACATTGTAAATAAAATATTTAGTCTATACAGTAAAAAAATACAAATTATGTAAGTGAACTAACAAAAAGAAATTTGAATACACTTATGAAACAACAACATACTTCAATGACAAACATACAGTATTCATCACATAAAAACAGCTACTTTTCCCAGTAAAAATAATTTGGTTGCTTCACAACTGCATTATAGACCTTGAAGTCTGAAGATGCAGATGTCCAACGCTTAAAAACCCCAATAAATGTCTTCTGCAAAGCATACAAAGAGGATAAATATTCTTATCACAGTCATAAGGTTATTTTTGAAAGTTTATTCTCCCATGCTCCAGAAACACACTTACATGGGTGAAAAAAAATTGAAGGGGAGTCATGTTACATCAAAACCGTAAGTTGTGCTCCGTTTCCTTCTGATTTTGAAAAAAACCCTAGAATTTACAGTACTCTGTGGTATACGAAAAAGTCTTCACAAGTTTACATTGCATATTTCTGAGTCCATTCTCTCGCGTGTCTGTTGTATCTGTATGTGCAGAAAGAAGGCATTACAGTGAGGAGCTGTTAGTGATACATTGACAATGGCCACGTATTTACTTCATGCAGGTGTTACTGAGCTTTTCACCTCTGAGCATTGAGTCAAAGAAGTTAAAAGAGTCTAAAAGCCAAAAAAAAACCCCATTTACCCACTGTATGTTCGGTTCCTAAGGTTACCCATTACAGCTGTCCAGACTCAAAACCAACCTGACAGGTTTGCATTAAAATGCATATCACTGTTCATACTTAATTTGCATTCCACAACCGGTTCCCTTACTTGGACCTTAACAGGAAATTGTTGTTAATTATTCCTAAATGCATATGCTATTAACAGTCTGAAAAAAGTTCACGCGTTTTTAGTTCCATAAAATTCAGTATAATTAACTGGGGTTTTATGCTCCCTTCTGCCCTGCCATCATTATTTCAGAACTTGAAAGGAAAATTTTTCTGAAAAGCATTTTTTGCTAGATTTTTAAGTCTTTCCCTTCTGGTATGAAGCTGATGAGAAAACTCAAAGGTAAACAACCTTAGAGAGTTCATAACTTCCCCTCTGGTCTTTACTTTTGCCACATTCCACTTTTCAGACTGGATTCACTTTCTTCTGGGTCATCCAGAGACAAAATGCTGACAAATTTTTAGATCTGTTTCTAAAGATCAGTATAACAACCCTAACTGGTTTTCTTCTTAAGAATCTGCTACCATACAAGTCTTAGGATCTTTACTTATGCTGAAATATCCATAGATAAATGCTATGGGGTAACCAGCCATATAATTAATTTCCTAAATTCCAGAGGAGATAAAAGTAATTTAATAGGTGATCAGCAGAAGAAGATAAAGCTATATAGTAAAGACTACACATTTTCTCACTTTTTCTAGGAATGATTAAATGTTGAGTTTTGGAGAGAAAACACCTTCACAAAGAGGAGGCACAATAGCTGAAATCACCAGTAAGTAGGAAGGTGGACAAAAATTGAGACACAAATGACATGTGATGAGCCACAGGCCACGAGCATAACACTGCAAGTCCTCAGTGGCTCAGTACTAAAAAATAGGTACCAAAACTCAGTTAGCCAAGAAGTCTAAAATTCTTCTTCTGTACAGGTTTTACAGAGGATTGCAGTAGCAAGAAATAACTCATGTTTGGGAAATGTTTTTTTCATGTAATGAATATAAGATGACACACGAAAGTGTGACGGTTTCATGTGACTAAGTACAAAAAATTAGGTACCCAGCAACAGCTATGAAGGCATACCCAATACCTACAGTTTTCTACTTGCCATAGCTCTTTTCAAGATTTAAAAATCTAATCCTGATCCTATAGAAATCTATGAAAAGAGTATTGCTAAAGTTAAGACAGAAGGTGCATAGCAGATAACCATCTGCAAGTACCACACACACAATTACAGATATGTTGTACTCACTTTTCCTTGTCTGACTTGTAGATCTGTGCAATATCTGGTACTAAAGGATCATCTGGGTTAGGATCACAAAGTAAGGAGCATATGGACAATAAAACTAAATAAAAGAGACACTAGATTAAACAATTTAGTTTGCTTTATTCCTATAATACATTAATATAGTCCAGTACACTAAAGGAAAGCGGTGGGAGATTGGAAAAAGAATGCATATTAGTATTAAGCTGTTCAGACAGCAGTTCTGTTCAGAAATGTTTATACAGCATCATTTTTCTACGGCCTAAGTGCACAACACCTGATACAAGCCTAGAGAATTTGCAACCCCTGGACTTGCACCTTTTGCAATGATCTCTCTCCCACAGTTCAACCTATGACCATTAAACAAACTACAGACCACACAGTTACATATAAATATTTGCTCAAACGAAGCATTTCATCTGCAGTTATTTGAGATAACTAATGTTATTAATGTGACATTGCCATGCAATACTCTATACGTGCATATCCTTCACTTCTGTGCTGACAGCTGTTCTCTCAATCATAGGAATACTCTACTTAAGTGTGACTTCCATTTTGAGAAAAAAATACTTCATGAGCATTATATGCAGGTATTCACTTAGAATTCCATATTCACTTTCTGGTATTGAACCAAGGATGTTTGTTTGTTTGTTTTTTTCAGCAAATTTCTATTTTTATACTCAGAACTAATATGCATACAAGAGTACACAATTAAACCATTCTAAATGTGTTGTGAAAGGGAGCTTGATGTTACCATGAGAACCTGATGTAGAATATCTTTTTCCCCTCCCTGCTTTGTCTTGTTACCCAAGAGCTCACATCTATTTTCACTAGTAGCAAGTTTGGCCACCTCAATACTGACATATTTATTAAGGGCCAGTAATATTAGAAAATCAGGTTAGACTACATGGTCACACCAATCAGAGGTGCTATCAGTATGTCTTACACAGCTTGTCAGATTAGTGCACACCAAGGCTGTGTGCAGGAGAATTTGCTTTCCCAAGGAGGGATTGGCAACTGGACTTGCATAGACCAATTTCCACTGGACAAAGACTGTCAATAAGTGTTTTCTTTGCTTGCACACACCCAATGCAATGACACTGTTCTAAAAAAAGACACACGGTCTAGAGAGCTCCCAAGCACAGAACGAGATGTGATACTGTTTAACCTTCTGAGTCACATGAGAAATTCTGTAATATGACTAAGTGTGCCTTAGCGGTTTTGAAGGTGAGGGAGAAGAAAAAAAACAGCATCCGCATTTTAAGCAGCTTTTGAAGTGGCACAAAATGCCTACAATAAAAGAACTGCTTCACTGTTAATTCTATGTTCCAAAATTTTTTTGTTTAACTAGAGGAAGTTTAACTACAGGACAAGAATATTTTAATAAATCTTTTACTGATGACTTCGAAAGGAGCTACGTTTTAAAACATTCATCTTACAGAGGAAAGCAAACGAGAACAATTTATCTCATTTTAAAATAAAGTGTAATTAAGACCTTAGCCTGCACAAGGGTGCTCAGGCAACCAGAAGATTCATCAACAGGCAATCGCCTAAGCCCACACTTGTCACTATCAGGGTTTTCCATTTACATCCAAATTCATTTGATTTTGCAGCCCTGCTCATCAGTTTCTCCTCAGTTCTGCATGACTGTCAGCTATAATACAGAAGTTGCATTTCAGGCTAAATGGACATTTATTATCTTACTCAACTTGTTTTAGAACATTTCTTTGCCGTGCACGTATTTTTCTGTAATGTGACGCTCCCTATAAGCTGTTCAAGATCTTGGATCATAAAAAGAATTCCAGAGGAATTTGCCCTCTCTGAAACGTGCAGGATAAATGAGTTCCCACTGCCACCTTTAAGGCAGTGCAATAATACACACAAAAAATGCCATGGCAGCGTGTGCAATTTCATAAATGCATTATCGAATCAGCCAACTTACCTTTAGATACAGTCAGAGCTGGTGACCATTGCGATCTCAGAATATCAAGACAAATACTCCCATTACTGTTTATGTTTGGGTGATATATTTTTGTTGTAAAAGCAATCTGTAATTAAAAAATAAAAACAAAGCAATGGTGAGGAAGGGTTTGTGGTTCACCAGGCGGTTCAGCACAGCGGAGATTTCATCCCCGTGAAGAATGTACTGTTCCAGATCTTTTTTTTCAATCCATTTGTACATCACTCCTTTCACATGGACATCTCTAATTGCATCAGATATGCAATATGTTTATTATATCTGGAATCCTTAACGTCATCCCTTCCTTTCCAGTCATACCAGATCTGCCACCACAATTTTTTTTACAGTCTTATCTGCCATCCACAGTGAACATGTGGATTGCTCACCTTTCTGGTTTTAACTCCCAAAATTAAGCCTCAAAGAACTAAGACACAGAAACAAAGTTTTGACCAAAAAGCTGTGATAAGTTCAAAGGAAGGACTTACTTTTGGTGGTTTGAAAGGATAGTCTGTTGGAAAGTGTACTGTGAGAAAAAACACACCCCCTTGATATGCACTATCAGGCTGGGGAAAAAAACAAAACAAATAAAACACATTAATACATTTCAGCCATTTTTAGAGCTTCCCTTCTGAATGCAGATAACCTTCCAAAGAAAATCTGGGTTTTTTTCCCCAGTACACAGCCCACTATGGGCCGTATACTGGGAAGGCACAGAGGGAATTGAACCCTCCCAGTGTCCTGCAGAGACTAAAGTAGAGCAAATCTTGGCTGCTACTGCAGAGGCACAACACAGCTGCTGAGCAACCCTTGGGGCAGAGAAAGGCAGGGAGCAGAGTTCCACTGGGGCAGCTACAAATCTGCAGAGCGACAGCTTCACTGCACTGAGGGCAACGCAGAAACCAAAGCAGGTCCTCCAAATCCTGTCGCTGTGCAAGGCCACAGCTGCTCCTCCATCCTTCAGCTCCAAATATACTCACCTCAAGAAGTGGTTTCTCTTTGCAGATGCAAAGAGTGGGATTTTCCAACATAATTCAGTTCGTCATGATGACGTCGGGGAGTTTTAAAACACACAACATCTCTGTGACCTGTACAAATCTGTGAACATGCATTTTGTTAGAAAACATGTGCACAGGTTTACGTCCAGGTTGCACAGAGCTAATATAAATAACTCAGTTGTAGTCATCTGTTGAAGAACTTTCATTTTTATTAACTAAAAAAAAAAAAAAATTAATGGAAAAGTCTTGATGCTGAATGATAGAGAGCAGTTCTGCCATTTCTGATTAAGGGAAAGAAGAAAACCACTCTCATTACCTGGTAAATTTAAAAGAGCAACATAGGAAGTCAATCTCAGGAAAGCTGCAGAAGACTGAGGTTTGGGGTTTTCTTTTGGAAACAAAGGCAAACTGTTTCTAAAAATGTTTACCTTGGAAATTAATGGTTTTAGAGATAACTACTATGACTGTAAGAGGTAGAGAGCCCCAAATGGTCCACTAAGACATGTTTTCTTACACACCTAAAGTGCAGACCATGTTGCAGTGTAAGGCAGGTTATAAATAGTCATACTAAGTCAGCATTAGGTAACTTCAGAAGAGGTTGCCACAGTAATTCCAATCAGGTTTGAAAGGACTGCTTGCCTGAATACTGAAGGGGTTTTTCAAAGTTGAAGATGAGACAAGTTCAGTGTCGGAGAGAAGGCAAAGTGAAGCCACACTACGTTTTATGAGCAAGGTATATACAACAAATTGATGACACCCAGAGACAGAAGAGGTTACCCTGCTCCCACACAGAGGAAACGAATTCTGAAGGTAAGCTTTAGTCCTATGTTTCCATCAGGAAACATAAAGGATGCACATCCCTAATTTCCTTTTGTTATCACGACAAAGGATTAATACTCTGAGGTGTTCTCTTCCTGTATCTCTGCAGATAGGGCTGAGAAAGGTTGGCAAGAGAAGCTGGTTCTTATCCTTAACTAGAGACATCTGAGAAACCTGAAGCAAAGAAAAGAATACTTTCCACTACAGAATATGAAAGGTAAACTGCAAGCTGGAGAAGAAAATAGAATTTAAGCCAAAATTTATGTTCTAGTATTTCCCTCACTCATGTCATCAGAGTTATTGAGGACAGAGACATTACTGATGGCAATCAACACATAACCTTTATTAACTCTTCTTTGCTGCTCTGCTGTTGACCCTTTATCTCAGAGCAAAAGGGCAAGGGTCAGAAGGATTTTGTATATGAAGGAACATGATTGACAAGTTGGACAACAGATTCCAGCACATCACTGGTAAATTAGTGACCCATCTTTCCCTACTTCAGAGCAGCTGTGCTGAAGATGAAGAAATAGTCTTAAATCAGACACAATTCAGCTTTTCTAAAGCATGCAATGATGAATCTTGATGGATTAAGTATTATTCAAAATTTCACCTCACACAGCAACTCAGCTCAGCCTCTGAACCAGAGACCTGTCTTTCCAAATTAGCAAGTCCAAAAGGAAAACACTAGGAATACAAATTCCTTACCAGGATATTAATAAACACACCTTCCATCTGATCACGTTGTTCTTTATTCTCTTTTGCTAAAATTCTTTCCAGTTTTCCTTTAAAACTTCATGGTTTTAAGTTTTATTGTCCTTTCTTATGTCATTTCCTTGACAAGGGTCATAATTAGGGTCTTTACAGATCTTCCTCCACCCAAGGAAAGCATCTTTCTCACACAGAAACCAGCAAAAGCACCCACAACTGCTGGCCTACAGTTTGCAAAAGTCATCTGCTTTTGCCAGAGCCACATCACAGCTATCAAATAAAATAAGCTCTATCTAAAAGCCCACAAATCACCCCGTGCAACTCCACTCTTGTTTACAGTTACCAGCTCTAACAATGGATTTCCTCTACTCTTTGTCCTTTCAGATGGATGAATCTTCCAGAATTGATCTGGTCATCTTTGAAAAGCCAACTCTTTGCTTTGTAGCCCCCCTCCCACCAAATCAAACACCACAGCTGACTGATTAAGCACTTCTAACTTCATGAAGAGGACAGAGTTTTGCAGTTACAGAAAGCAACCAATATCAGACTACTACAAACAACATCATCAGCCTAAATCTTCCATCTACACACAGCACAGCTGAATGTCACTGCTGTATTTATAGAAACCCAAGTGAATTCTTCTGTAACAAAAAGAGAAGCAAGGTCTTACGTTCTAAGGGGCACGAATTACATACTTACGGGTCCCATAATAGTTGCTTGCCAGTGAAACACTGAAAGTAAAAAAAAAAAAAAAGAAAGAAAAAACAATTAGAGATTTTCCAAGCTTTTTTATAACTGAAAAAAAGGTAGAAATCTGACAGTGTACTACGAAAAGCTTACAGTCATCTCCAACAGGCCCAGCAGAACAGTGGGCCGGCGGGTCTCGCTGCAGATCACTCAGTTCCTGTAAGAAACACAACATTTTGAAAGACATCTGCGTGAAAATACACACACTTGGCAGCATCCCTTCAGAAGTAAGAACACAAACTGATTTTATTTAACCTGGGAGGTTTGTTTTCCTTGTGGTATTTTGATACAACAATCAACACTTGAAATCCACGTTGGGACTGAAGAAGTTTTTTGGCCAGATGGTCTGCAACTATGCTAGAAATTAATATCTTAAGGTATTTAAGAGTTGCATCTAGGTTCATAGTAAGGAGAATACACTTAAGTAGACAGGAAAAAAAGAAAAGAGTTTCTTAATTTGTCTGTAAACTCCCTGTTTAATTTAGAGTTATGTGCTGATCTGATTATTCCTTTAGCTTTTGATTTTACAAAAGCTTCTGCATTGGCCTAGTCTGTGTACATTAGCTAAGCCTGCCTGGAGATAATATATAAACATAACATAAAGGTTCCTAACTAAACTAGAAACTAAAGGAAAAATATTAGTTCTTACACCTTATTTATCATACCTTGATTTAATTCCCTGCATGCCTTTTTTTTTTTGTTTGTTTAATGACTACTAAAACACTCCAAAGGAATTTGAAACTTAAGCACTGCAAATACCTTGAATTTACTTTAAGGAGTAACAGTGGAAACATTCCTACTCCAAAAACACTAGTCAAGGCAACTACTTCCAAAATCAAGGTTTAAATTGAAACTAAGTTTAACCCAAGCGTGGAATTTGTGTATTTAGTGTGATCAGACCTTACAAACAATTTGAGGCGTTAAAAACCTGCACTTCTCAACTGCTGGGATACACTTTTACATTTATGACATCTGGTAAATATTTTAACTCAGTCTGCCATGCATCTGGCACCTAAATCCAGCCAGACTTTACAAGTCCACTCTTGGCCATGAATTCAAAGAAAGGCACTGAAGTCACTTCTCACAATCTTCGTGATTTAAAACAAGAGAGACACTTCTTTCATATACTGAAATAGCTCAGGTTGCCAATAAGCATTACTTGCCTGCACTTTAACTTTATTCTTTTGGTGAAACTGTGTATTGGTCCAGAAACAACACTCTGGGCTAGACTTGAACTAATAAAGGCACCAGAAAAACGTGCAGTTCCCGTTTTAGTCGGAGGATTCAAATTTCATTAAGGAGTGATCCAGGGAACCAGCTGTCTGTGCACAGCCAGTACACACAGGGAGTCAACCAGTGTCAAGTTGCCAGCAGTCACCAGAGTCCTCACAAACATGACCAGCAGCAGAGCTGTTACAGCCACTGTCTTTAATCTGCAGCTCAAGATATAACCTAACGAGAGAAGATTAGGCCTTGCATACACACTAAAAGAAATAAATAATAATAAAAAAAAAATCAAACAGCTACATGAAACTGTCTGCCAAAACAGAGAACTCAGACTAAAATCCATGCATTTTATAATGGTCATTGATGACTATTAGATTCAAAAATATGTAGCTTTAACTCTTCAGAAAGTCTCTAAAGTATACGCAAACATTCTCTAGACAGAGGCAAACGTCCAGGCAAGCACTTTAATTTTAGAGTCACAAGTCTGTAACAGCACTCTCATTTGCCAGATGTTTGCCTTGAGATCTTTACATACCCCAACCCCCACACAAACTGGTTTTCTTTCAGATATACATGTGCACTTCAGGATGGGCAGAACTGGGGAAGGCTCCTCTGGTACACACCTTCAATTTGTTCAGGCTAAAGGCGCTGAAATTTGTGCATGATAAAAAGTTCCATTTTTAATCATATGAGAGACAGAACTATCAACTGCTGTTATTAACATTTCCTAGTAACAATGAAGAAAAGGCTGTCTTCAACCAACTTCACTAAGTGAGAGCCATGTTCACAAACACATTCAGAGACCCTCTGCAGCTTCCAGAAAGCAAAGCCAGAGCAAACTTCAAAATCTTCACAGTGCAAATTCAAGCCTTATTTTGCAACCATGTGAAATTACATACTGAAGCTAATGAGGTTTAAAAATATAAGTGGTAATGTGATCAAACTTTGGAAATTGAAATGGACAGTGTGAACAGTTTGAATCCTTACATTCAGAAATTCCAGATCAAGCTGTGATAAAAAAGAACTACTCAGCTTTATATTGTTAATAATGCTGGTTAAGCTTCAGAATCAAATCAAAAGTATCTAAGATTTAGGCTTCAAGCTTCCCTACACCTTTCAAAATGGTGCAAGGAGACAGAATGCCCCTGAGTCAAACTGGCTTGCCAGAACTGAACACTGCAGAACAGGTGTAAAAAACTTCACAAAAAGAAGCATTTGTATAGGGAATTCTTGTATTTAATGTCCCAAAAATGCTCTTCACAAGAACGCCCAAACTTTGCTTTGTCAAGGGGCAAGGCTGAAGATTTACAAAGCTCAATGTGCTGAAACCTCACCAAGAAGAGCAAGAGAATTCCATGTGAGGCACTACACAGCCAACACTAGAGAATCCCCTGCAATTTTTAAGTTAATTGGTTAGAGTAGCTTGGTCCATGCTTTATGGACATCATCATAAAGCTGATTATCATCCTGTAGCTGCATGATGCAGGTCTTGTCACTTCAAGGCCCGCTCTACATGAATATTTTTAGTCACTAGTACAGAAAATGCTGGTGCAAGACTTTGATGTACATACGCTAAGAAATGGGATCTATAGCTCAGAGTGGTGCAGATTCACTGTCAGAAGAGAAAGTCACCACTATAAATTAAGAGTCTACACTGGTACAACATGTTTTAGCAGAATACACAACCCCAAAATTCTGTCGGCAGGAGATGCACCAGAAGCATCAGTTATTTCAAACACTGGTGAGCATCACAGCATAAAAGCATCTGTCAAGAGCTCCAACGCACGCTACACTATCCCAGAACAGCCAGGATAAATTACACAGAGAAAAATAGCTAAGCTGGGAACTCGAAGGAATAATCCTCTCAAACGTACAAAATAGTACACAGTAGAACAGAATACTATTGGCCAGAACACTGCTGGAGATGGACACGGCAAAGCTCCCAAATTATCACCTTTCCTTGCACCACACACACTCCAAAACACCCCTGTAAGCAGCAGGAGGCAAAAATTTAAGATTCAAGTTTGTTTAACAGCTGTGAAACACGGGCTACGGTCAGCAATAAATGCTGGAGCCATTTCTGACCGTGCAGAGGAGTATTCATGGTCAAAGAATAATACAGGATGTATTTCATGAAAGTGTAAAGTTGAAGACTGCGAGGGCAATTGAACACTTACATGCTTCATTAGCAGCCAGGCTTCTCTCCCAAAAAGGCTACTAGAACAACATTGTAAAGGATACTTTGGTAACAAGGAGATAAATTTTTTCTGCATAGTACTAAGGGATACTCAGTGACTATGAGCTTGAGTAGTCAGAACAACAAAAAAAAAAAAGCCCTAAAAATGTTGTGGTTTTGTTTGTTTGTTTTTGCCAGTTTAAAATTAAAAAAATCAGAAAAAAGTCTGCAGTTTATCAGAAGCCCAAAATGAACTGCACACAGCATCACTAAAAGCTCTTTTCATTCTCTAATCAACACAAAACCACAGCCAGAACCTTTTGCCGCTCCATTATTTAAGATATAGAGGTTTATCTCTGTCAGGTGTGTTCTTCATTTCTTGCCCAAAATGCACTGTGGAATGCACTGTAGACCACAGACTCATTTCCTACCAGCTCCATGCACACACCACTGCTTGGAACCATCTGTCAAAAAGCTCCACAGTGCTCATACTAAAGACTACTTAAAGAATCCTCTGTTCTTCATAAATGTGGTAAATGCACAGCACATCTTTATCAGAACATTTATTGATAGAATTGTTAGTCAGTAATAAAGTATATATTCTATTTCCATATACAGTTTTAATGCAAAACCCTACTCTTATGGGTGGTCCTTACCTGGTATCTCTTCATATTTTGGGCAGAAGTTATTGCATAACCAGGAAATCTCCTACTACCTTGCAGTCAGCACGTTGGAAAGCATTGCTTCATTTTGAAAGAGTAGGAACAGAATCTAATAAGGCTAACAGGGTGAAAGGTACTTTCATAAACAGTCTAACCATAATTTCACATCTATCAAATGCAAAGTTCTTAAATGCCACACTAAAGAAAATTGTGGGTTTCCAAATCATGTGGAAGCCTCTAAAGCAGAAAGAAAAGTTACACGGGGAACTTGATAAAAGTAGGGAGAACAATCCTATTCTGGCAGCAAAAGCCACAACCAACCACTCCAGCTCAAAAAGACCAGATTATCAGACTTTGTCTATTTTCCTCAGCAGAATGAAACTGAACAGGAAGTGGAAAGAGATGGTATTCGGAACAGAGGTGGGAAATTAAAGCGGCAATAAATGGTAGACCACTCCCAGAATAAGCAGAAGCATGACAAGAGTTACTGCTAGAGAAAATCACGGTAGTTATTTATTAGTATTTGATATAACGGTCAAAAGGAACACTCACAACAAGCGATATGAAGTATCTCCTTTAATTGCACTACCTCTAAAGGTGTGAGCTTTGTAGCTCGAGTCGTGACTACCAACTTTTGGTAAAAATCCATCCAAGTAACTTGGTACCTACTGTAAAATAATAATAATTATTATTACTATAACTTGGTGCCTACTGTGGGGTGCCCTAAATCTGCTTGCCGTGGGGCTAACCGGCCACTATAGTATCCTACTTCTGCACCACCAGCGGCTTCCAGGAGCAAAAGGGAACCCTTAAACAAGAAACCGGAGCAATGATGTCACAGCACCAGGATAGCACACCGACAGCAACCCAACACCGCGGGTTCTGCATCACGGCCACGGCACCAAGCTTAACCTCAACCTTAACTCCTGGCCACCCGCCGTGTTGTTTTTGTCTGTACACAGCACAGCCACCAGCTCGGCCTTGCACAACAAAAGGCAAACCCCGGGAACTCGCTCCTCAACTCGAACCATTTGGGCCGCTCCAAAACACCAGCCCAAAACACTCCGAGACACATCCCAAGGTCATACACAGAAACCACAGCTGTGCAGGCAGCACCTTTTTAGCCTCGGAAACAGCCCGGGGCGCGGGGCTGAGCGGGGACGGGCACAAAGGGGAGCGCAGCGCTCGGGAGACACCTCTGCCACGGACACCCCCTGGGCCCCCGAACGGCGGCTCAAAAACCACCCACTCGGGGTGCGGGGGGGGGGCATTTAAGAGCCCCGAAATCGCGAGGAGGCCGGCGACGGGCCATCCGCCCGCTCCCCTTCCCCGGCTGCCGGGAGGGAACGATGGGTGCCGGCGGAGACAGCGCGGGGCAGCAGCTGCCGCGACGCCTCTCGCTGAGCCGAGCCCTGCCCGGCCGCCACCACCACCACCCCCGGCAACAGCGGGACGGCTCGGCGGGGCGGGGAGCCGCGCCCTCCTCCCGCAGGTTCCCGCAGCCCAGCCCGGCCCCGCTCACCTTCTGGATCCGCTTCAGCGCCATGGGGAGCGCGGGGCGGGCGAGCGAGCGCTCGCCGAGCCCTTTGTGTCCGCCCCGCGCCTGCGCGGCGCCGGTCAGCGCGGGGCGCGCCGGGAGATGTAGTTCCGCCGGCCCGCGGGGCTGTGCGGGCTTACGGGTTTACGTGCTCAGTAAATGTCTTATGTGTTCGCTGCTTCTTACAAAGTTAACATAATTAGTTAATTAGTTCTTAGGAGTTCTTCGGAAGTCCTTGTCCGGTCACTAGGGGGTCTTCGGGTGGTCTCTTGGTGGTCGCTTGGAGCTTGAACTTCGCTTGAACTTGCCGGTCGAGGAGCGTATTTACAGGTGGTTATAGAGCGCCTTTGTTCAGCACCTCTTATAGAAAACTGCATACTTACGTTACCACTACTTTAACTAAACCATTCGGAAACTTGCTTATTCCACAACTGCCTTAACAGAAACTTACATCGTAAAGGCCGGTAGAAAAAACTACGGAACAACGGAGAATTATTGCTCTCACAGGCGGTTGAAAAGGCGTAGGGTTTTTTTTTTTAGTAGGTCACAGAATCACGAAGGTTGGAAGAGACCTCTGCGATCGAGTCCGACCATAAACCAGTTCCCACACCAGCAAGTCCTGAATCAAGTACAGAGCTCCAAAAACAATTCTCCCATCAATACTCAAGCTTGTGAGGCACCGGCCCACACCCCGCCCTCCTCCTCCTCCTCCTCCGCCGCCATCTTTGGGAGGAGCTGCGCGTGCGCGGTGTGGCGCGGGAGCAGGAGCGATGGGGCTGGGGCAGAACAGCGGCGTGCGGGGTACGGCCGGTCGGGGCTGCGGGGCACGGCTGGGCTGGGGTGCGGGATGGCATGGGATGGGAATGGGATAGGGCCGGTCGGCGGTGCGGGACTGATCGCGGGCAGGACTGGGGTCACCCGTAGGGGGGGGATAAGGGGGAGGTGGCTCCGCCCCGCGTCTCGCGCCCCGCCGGACCCCTGGGACAAAATGGCGGCCCCCCCCCCCTATTTAGGCGGCCTTGTTTTATTTCTGCCTTTCCACGTGTTGGAGTGCAAACATCATAACAATCTGTAGATTTCGGGGGGAAGTCTGCCTGGCTCGCAAAGCCCGCTGCCTTACAATAGAGGTAACGGTGGCGTTCGCGCGGGGTCATTATTGACCCGAGCCGTGCCTGAGATAGCGTTATTTGTTTGAAATGCTGTTGCGCAACCGAAGGGGGATGAAAGAGTTGAGGTGGTGGAGGACAGAATAGAGTTCCGATTGCCTAATTTTTTTTCTAAAAAGTGAGCTTCACCTGCAGGACTGAGATTTCCACTTCCAAAGCTCCTCGTGGTTTATGCCCTTAATTCCGTGGGTAGATAGTTTGGGCTTGTTTTTCTTTGGGGCTGGAGGGTGTACGCTGCTGGCACAGAGGATGTTGGCAAAGGCACTAGTCAAAAATGGCTTGTAGTGATGGAAGGCCGTGCTTATTAAAACAATGAAAGCACTGAGCGTGACTTGATGATAGTTTTGCATCCAGGTTGTGTTCCCAAGGGCAGCTTGCTGCCACTTATAAGCTTGCACGAATTAGAACAGTCCTTATACGTTAGGAATTGAGAAGAAAACCTTTGCGAGGATGGGAGAGGATCATGCTCCTAATCAAACTGCAAATATCCTCCTTATCTCAGGGAAGCAGGGGGAAAAACTGATGGGAGCAGTCCTAGAGGCTTCTCTGTTTAGGAGGAGACGGGATTAGGTTATTGTGATTTCTGACAAGATTAATCTTGGAAAGTGACTGGCCGGTCACAGTTCTTTCTCCAGCTCGTGCGTGTCTCAGGCCGATGAAATTTTGAAACCATTTATTCCACTGCTAAAAAACTAGAGGCCAGAACTTCACCGTGTTTTTGTGAGATTTAATTCCTGGCAGTCATTTGGGAGTTAATTACCTCTGTGCATTTGTGCCCTTCGGGAAGGCAGTGAGTAGCACAGCTAATGCTTTTCGTTGCAGAGTTGTGGGTGGTTGCAGGTGTGACCCTGATCTAATCGCGGTGACTTGTCTTGTGCTGCTAACTGGCAAAATCCGACATTCCTTCCCTCTCAGGTGACCTCTTTATGGGCTTCAGTTAAATTAAACTTGCCAGTCATAATCCCACGTTTTTTCGATTCTGTGGAGTGGTAGAAATGATTTTCTCAGCCTGACTGCTTGCTTGGCTTTTGCAGTTTGTGCAGCCAGTTGTGCAGCTGGATGGCTCTTCAGTAAGCAAGTATCATATGTTTCTCCAGCATGGCCTTTCGTTGTGGACAGTGACACTGCTGGACTATCATAAACAACTCTTGTGCAATAGTGGTCTCTTGATTGGCAACAAAAACGAGGAGAAAAATGTTTGAAAGTTATAAGCACTTCTGGAGACATAAAGTGTGGGTTTTCGTGTTTGGAGTTATTCACTGTGTCACTTTTGAATAGTATAAACATTTTCTAAGACTGTTTTGGGAGTGAAGCTCTCTCTGATGTCGTTGCCAGTTCCTGGAATGTCAATTGATCTGTGTCCTAACAAGGATCTTGTACTCCTGGTGGACCTAAGACCACCTCGTGTGCTTTCTCAGTGCAGATGGCAAATGCCTGTCCTTCCTGCAGATAAAATCTGTTTGGGCTCTCTGGCAGATCCAAAAACTGTCTCTGTAGCATGGATCTGTAAACATCCAGAGCAGTGTTCTAGATGTTTAGAGAAGAGAGGAGGAACTGACCTAAATCTCTTTTCCATTAGGAGATGTCCAAAGAATACAGAAGGGAAAAAATTCCTATCATTGGCTTGTTGCTATTCTTGTCTTCTGGTTTATTGTTTACTTCTGTGTGCTGTCTCCTGGGACTTCATTCTGTCTTCCCTTCCCTTCCCTTCGTGTGTTAATTTTTCTGGAGTTTTAGCCAAAGTTTTTTCCCGTTGTTTAGCTAGCGCTTATGACATGGAAACAATTTTTCTGTCATGCTGCACAAGCCTGTAGTGTCTTGTCTTGTAGTAACTTGTGGTTTTGTATTATGCTAGAATTGGGAGTTGCTTACTCAAAAATGTAGGTTAAGCTTTGTTGCATTGGCAGTGCATTGGCCAGCAGCTTGGGTGCTCCTTGTAATTGCCTTGGATTTAAACTTTGGCTGTTCTTTTGATTAGTTTGGGCCGTTGTGCTAAATTCAAGCAGATTTTCATAAAACCCCTTCTTTAATTTCACCTCCTCACTTCTTTACCCTATGAAAAATCTGCATTACTCTGGCTAGTTTGTAAGGGGGAGATAAAGGGTGAGAACTCACTGGATGGATATAGAACACAGAATTCACCACATGATCTCTGGGGCTTTTATTGTTTTTAGGGACTTTGGGAGCAGGGAAACCTGCCCTGAATTCTTCAGTGTTAATGATGGTTTTCTTTAGCTTAATATCACCTTGTTACAGGGAGGGTTTGCCACTCATTTGTGGGGGAAGTCTTAGGGTATGTTGGTCCCTGCCTATGGGACAGGGGCAGAAAACCTTGATCCTTTTAGACCAATCTCACACTGGCAATACAGCGAGTCATTTGGTCATGGAAAATGGCAAGAACTAACAAAGGGTGTTTGTCTCTGAAAAATAAACGCGTGCTATGATTCTTAAATATAATCTTTTTGGACCTTTGTTCTTTCCACAACGGTAGGGATTTAATCTAAGCTGGCTTTTGTTATTGGAAGCAATATATTTAATAATTTTCCCATTGCCAAACAGCTGGGTTTAGGTTTTTTTTTTTTTTTGTTACAAGATTCATTATATTAAAAGCTACTCATTGCCTCTGCCTTGGGGGGATCCTGCTTGAGTTTCTGGTGCTGGCCCTTGTTCTTTAGTGACTTTCCTGCAACTGAAACAAACGATACAAGTTTTTTCCTGCTACAGAATGTACTTACAGCTGGTTTAATAATGCTGAACTTTGAAACAATATACTACCCATGTTGACATCAGTTTCCCAAATAAAAGGTTAAAACAAAAAAACCAAAAACAAAACCAGAAAACAACCAACCCCAAAAAAACCCTGCCAGGTTAGTCCTCACCCTTGTGTAGAAGGGACTTGGGTGAAGCACAACTCTGATTGGTAGAAAGGAGTAGATTAATTAGATGTCACAGGAAAACACTCTTCTGAAGTACAGAGTTACTACTGAAGAACAAAAACATTTATTGGAAAGTAAAGATGTTGCTGCAAGCATGAAGGCCTTTACTGCTGAGTGGTTTTAATAGGTAGAACGTTGTGGTAAAAAAATTGACAGTCTCTCCTTTTTTCTTTTATTCTAGTTGAGTGGATTGCTGCAGTCTCCTTAGCTGCTGGGGCAGCTGTTGTCGGGTACCTAGCTTACAAAAAATTTCTCTCTAAAGACAAATGCTGCAAAGCAATGGTGAATCCTCACATCCAGAAGGATAACCCCAAGGTAGTCCATGCGTTCGATATGGAGGATCTGGGAGACAAGGCCGTGTACTGTCGCTGCTGGAGGTCTAAGAAGGTAAGAGCAGATTGAACGGTCCGGTGTCGTTCACGTGCGCGCATCTTTCAGCAAAACTGTTTTTAAAGGTGGAAGCTTACTCAGTCATAAAGTGCCTTGCCACTAGTACGTAGTGCATGGCAGTGCAATCACAGTGGCACAGTTTAAGCTTCTGTTTTTCAGCAATTAAAAGTCTGGCCTAGACACTGGTCCAGCTTACTTGCGTTTGAAGTTGAGTTGCCTCAGTTGCCTAAAATTAGTGGTAACCTAGCCTTTCAATAAATTAAAATCTGATCTTAGAGGTGTGTGACTCTTGATGTAGCTGAGATGTGTACAATTTATCTGTAGTGGGAGTTCTGGGATCTGTAGTGAAAGCAGATTGCATGATTAGTCCTCTCCATTTATCACTATACAGGCCTTCAAAGCCAGATAACTGCCTTGAAATTTAGCTCTCTATCTGTCAGTGAACTGAATAATAGACTTCTCAAGTCTTAGTCACTGGTCTAATCAGGCCATACTTGGCCGTTTTCCAGGTGCTGTAACTTCTGGTTCTTGCTGTTGTCAGATCTGACTTCATTACCTTGTGGGTAATTCAGGAGCTTGCACATTTGAGGGAGAATTGGGTTTAACAGTAAAATACAGCTAAGGATTAAGCAGCATCATGACTCGATTCTGAAATAGTCCTGTGGAGATGGTCTTGTCTTCTCTGCTCTGTGTCTAGGGTCTGAACTGAAAAACACCCAAAAAATTCCTAACTTGAACCTTGGAGTTTGTGCTTTCTGCTTCCTACTCAGTTTTCCAAACAGAAATGGAAGATAGTGTCTGGTTCTAGTGGTGGCATTGCAGCTCCTGCCCGTTGTTTGCCATTGTTTGATATTATCTTTTTTTGGTGTGAAATAAAAACCTTAAGAAGGAATGTTTCTGCACAGTTTAGGAACATACTGTCCTACTGAATGAGGGCTCTAATCACCCAGAAGGAAGCAGATGGGGCTATAATGTGCATGCATTCTTAGAATTCTGATATGAAAAGTCTCGTAAAGGCATTAAGGAGGTCAGTGGAAATTTTGGGAAGCATTTGTTTTCTTTTACTGGTGTTTAATGATGAGTATTTGAGTCAGAATGTTCATGATGAGTATTTGAGTCAGGATGTTCTGTTCCAAAGACAGTAGTTCCCAGTTTTGCTGCCTTCCTCTTGCCCTGATGGGCTGACCTCGCAGGATGGGAAGCATAATCTTTAAGATGATGTATGTGCTGCTTCTCATGTTCTGTTATGGCCAAGCAGTAATGAAACACATCATTTTCACATGCTTGTAATCTTTGGAAGTTGTCAGATAGCATTATCTGGTTCTTAGCAGTTCTCAAACTTGTTAAAATTTGTAATAAAATGATGTCAAAATGTGGAATCTGTGTGCTTCCCATGTGGGAAATCAAAATTACTTCAAATCGCTGTAAGTACCTGCTGTGTTTTTTGTTAAGTAAGTGGCGCATAAAGTTTAGGAGAAGTGTCCTTTTGTATCAATGTGTGTACTTCTCATCAGATTTGGCCTCATCTGAGGCATGAGACTCTTAATAGAGCCACTGGTGTTAGGAACCATAAGCTACTTTTGTTGCACTGATGGCGTGTGTGCATTTACACCACACGGTGTTCCTCCTCTACAGGGAATAACAAAACAGTTGGACTGTACCAGGATATTTTGGAGTAACTCTTGAAAAAGGAGCAGGATTATTTGCAGGGTGGTTTTTTTTTGGTTGGTTTTTTTTTTTTTTTTTTGTGCTGGCCAGTGTCTTTTTGGAGTGTATGTGCTTAAAAAAACCCCACAATAACCCCTCAAATAAGTCTGTCTTGGGGTGTAATTATCTGTTAATAATAGGTAGTTCTTTAAATGACCCTCTTCTGTTCAGTGCAGTTGTCAAGTTTTGTGAAGAAACCCAGTGTTCAAACTTACCAGTGTAGAGGCAGTAGTTTTGTCTTGAAACTAAACAGTAATTAAAGTTAGAACACTTGTTTTCTTCCCTGTCTTCGTTTTAAACTGTGTGAGTTGGGAGAGGGGAAACTTTATTTCCTTTCTTTTACAATGACCTGCAGCCTCTGTGTCTCCCAGAGAAGTATTAGTCCCCAGGCTGTGGGTTGAGGAATATTGCTGCAGGCTGTCAGCAGAAACAGAGAATCCAAGCCTGTTCGGTGTCAAGGGAAATCAGCTGGTCAGTGTCCCATGAACATACATTCCTGTTTCCTCACATTTTGTCCAGGCATCTGTCCACTGCTTACTCATTGAGTCACAAATGACTGATGAGATGATAAAGTTTCTGCATGGATCAGCTTACAGGAGCATTCTCTGAATTCAAGGTTTCTTTTTTTCATAAATGTCACCTGCCACTTTTAATGTAGGTTTTAACATTTTGTAACTGTGAAAAAAGAAAACAAACAAAAACAGCCCACCTGACCTCTCCTTCATTTCCAAGACTACCCTACAGAGCAGGTGAGGTTATTTTTAAAGCTCTGTATATTGTTTCATTATATTGGTTTTATGCAGTACTTTGAAATTTTTTATTCTAAGCATGGCTGATAGGGTATTGATGTTTTAAAAGGCTGTGACTCAGGCATGAACTTTGGGATTGGTGGAGCATTGAAGACCGACTGTAACAGTACTGCAAGGGAATACTGCTGTAGCAAAGACAAAAATGGAGTAATGCCCACCTTCAATTGCCAGTACTTGTAAGCAAACAAAATAATAACTGAGTGCAAAATACCGGCGTGTGATTTCTGTGATTGTCTCCAGAGCTTCCTAGAAGAGGAGGCATAGCCCTGAAATACATCCTTGAGAAGTGATGGGATCTGAACTCATTCTTGTTACCTCACAGAACGTCTTTGGGCTCTTTTATGTGGAAAGGGCTGCCCAGAAACAGAGTGGTTGTCACCAGGCTGGGACCTGGGCAGTTACAGCTGGCTGGAGTCGTCCCCGTAGTTCTTGCTCTGACCAGCCTGTTCTAGGGTGGGGTTCATTTGTTAGTTATTTTTTTTTAATGGAACAAACATTTCTTGAAATTACTTCCAACTGCCATGGCTCTTAAGGGCAGCACTGATGAAGTGCAGCTTATTTCCATTAGCCAGTGGAATGTGGAAGCCAGCTTGTGCAAGGGGACAGTTGCACGGATGAGATGTCAGGATGGAGCAAAGCTGGCTTGCCACTCTAGCTGTCTGGAGGCAGGACTGGCATGTATGTGTGTCTCTCATTCAAGAGGTGAGCTAGGGAAACTGTCCATTTTCTTATCATGTGCTGTGGAAAACCAGGGAAGTAACGGAGCTAAGGATCTCTTCTTGTTTCTCTTTCTCACCCCACTTACCATCTGGTGCTGCACTCAGCTCTGGCTGTCGCCCGGGAAAATGGTGTGTGGGGCAAGGTTGAGAGCAAGGTACTCCAGGTAGGTTATAGCTGAAGGTCTGCTCAGGCTGCACTTCCCTTATGCTGGCCTGAGGCAGGAACACCAAACAGAGTGGAGATTAGTGGCTGCTTTTTTAGAAGGAGCCTCTTGTCCACTCTGTTCTAACAAGGGTAAAACCAGCATTCAGCCAAAACTCTGGGACACCTGAACTGCCAGCACAAAAGTTGTGGTCTGTGGTCACAGTGGATTTAATGAGAAAACGTCTAAGAAACTTTCAGCTTAGGTTCTCAATTCTGACTCTGGATGTACTTTAGATGTGTTTATATTTTCTTTTTTCAGTTCCCCCTTTGTGATGGCTCTCACACAAAGCACAACGAGGAAACTGGCGACAACGTTGGGCCTCTGATCATCAAGAGGAAGGAGGCGTAGAGTGGACAGTAGAAGCTACAAAATGAATGTCTGACAAATCCTCTGCTCACTTGTAATTGGGGGAAAAACCACAGATCCTTTGTCGTGTCACTGAAGACTTCCCAATGTAGTATATACATTAGGCTTCAGCATGTGTATTTTCTCTGGTGCTTGTTGTCTTTCAATCACTACAGTGCATAATTTACTAAATAGTCATGGTTTAAATTTTTGGTCCTGTAAAGTGTGTGTACCCTCTCACTGAGTATGAAACTAAAATGACACACAGAATGTACTTCTTTGGGAAATGAGTATTAAATTATTTTCAAATACATGTATATCAAAAGGTCCTAAAAATCCTGGAGAGTTTCCAAAGTCACAAAGCTGGGTAGATTTCCATGTAAAAGGCAGTGGCAGGGAAGAAATCACGGTGCCAAAATGCAGCTTAATTAATCTCTGATTGTGCTGCATTTTTTGCAGGTGTCATGTGTGGCCTGTTACACTTCTGTGCTGCGTGGCTGCCGTAAAAGAACGAACTCAAAACTGCTTGCTATGAACAGGCAGCAGAAAAGGCTGAGAGTAAGATCGGGTTAGAGGGCAGCTTCACCTTTGATTTTACAGCAGTATTGAAACTTGACCCAACTTCCATGTGATATCAAGAACATACTACCCAAACCTGTATTTAGAATAGGGTTAGGAAAATGGTCTCTGTGAGAGCTTTCTTAACAGACCAGTGGAATGACACAGAGTGCTCTAAGGGGGATGGACAGGGGGTGCCAGAAAACCTTAGTTTCACTTGCAGTCTCAGAGTGGAGCCAACTTCCCCAGACCACAGCACACTTCTGTGGGGAGGCTATGCTGACTGATTCCAGAATCTAAAAAAAACCCACTAAAACCCCAGGCATCATCACAGTCTGATGATGGCCATCACAGTCATCACGGCTCTGGCCGTGGGGAAGCTCTCCAGAGCTGGAGATCTCTTCCTGCTGTGGAGGGAGGAGGCATACCTTTCTTACTATGTGGCCTTAGGCTCTATGTGTCTTAAATAAGTCCTGCCTCCCTGGGCTGTTGATGTGGTTCAGCTGATTTTGCCAAAAAAACCTGGCATGGACAAGGAAAGGCTTTGGAAACAAATGGAAACAGAAAAGGAAGGAAGGAAGGAAAAGACAGGGAGAGCTCTTACCCTCCTTTCCTATGGCACTTGTCTACTTGTCTGGCGTGGTTGCATCACTGGCTGTCACGTTGGTTTCCTTAAATTAAATAGCTTTATTAACGTGAAAATGACTACAAAGCAAAACCCAAAGAGTGGGGTGGCAGAAGGCAGTTTTTTTGCTAAACCCAGTTAATTAATTTTACTGCAGCCTGTGTAAGATTGAGCTCTTGATGTCCTGGGATAGAAACTACCTCAGGGCTGGATGAAAGGCCTTGTTAAGAGGCTGACATTTTAACCTGCACCCTTAAGGGTTCTTCACATGATGGGAGCAGTAAAGGTTTTATTTTATCTTTTTTTTTTTTTTTTTAAGGGTTGTTGGTATGACTGGTTAAGACTGAAGATGATTTGCTTATTCTCGATGTGAGGCTTTCATAGGCTGAGGTCTTGGCAACTGATCTGAACTTGGGCAGAAGGTTCAAAAAGTAGACAAGGTGGCCCAGGTAGAGAAAGGGTTGGTAGGTGGGGTATTGTAGTAGGGGCACCTCTACTTGAAGTTGCAGCCAAATATGTTAGTTTGTCTTTTCTGCCTGTCTTGAGTGTAAAGGTACTGGATTTTTTTTTTACTTGGCCAAGTACCAATGCATATGGAAAGTTGTTTTAACCTTAAATTATTGAATACCTTGCTTTTATCCAAAGCAGAGTAAATTCTGTATTATTAAAACATGACACTGGATATTTCTGTGTTTTTGTCAAATACACATTTGAGCTCATCCTAATCTCGAGGCTGTAACGTCTGTGTTCTCATGGGTGTGCTGTTCCTTTCTGTGGAGTTACACAGAGCAGTGCTGTAGACCAGTGCTGCTGTAGTCAAAAACCCCTGTCCAGGGTGGATTTTTCCTTTTGAGACTCCTTTTTCTGTCAGCAGCAAAGCCTGGCTGCACCTGAAGGAATAGAAGTTCACTGAAAACTGCATTAATGGTCTGAGAGATGAAGTCTTGTAGTTTCAGAAGAGTCTCCCGAGTCAAAACTACTTCCTGGAGTTTGGGCATCGAGGAAGTGGGCCCTGTGGGAAGTTTTTATTCCTGGGAAGCAAAGTTGTGGAAGCTGAGTCCTGGTGACTTTTGTTTTAGGTGTCACGTTTTTGAATGTTGATTTGAAGTGGTCAGATCTTATTTTGAGGTATGTACAGTTTCCTGTGCTGTACCTAAAAGTTCTCGTTATGTATGTGAGCTGTTTGAACATGATAACGAGAAGAGATGCTTGGATTTGAGCAAACAAACTTGCCAGCAGTCTCGATGAGCATCCCAGAGCACACTTCATTTTTTCCCTTAGTACCATAATAGGTTACCATGTTCTGATGGGCTGAGTGCTTGCCTGTTCCAGTGTTTTCCAAAATCTCTCTTTAGTGCTTTCTTCACATAATCTCTGGAGCATGAATGGAATTGGTTACATTTCTACAAAGTTTTAACCATAAAAAAATTCTGCATATGTGCAATTTTGACCTCACATTGAAACTCCTATTGGAAATGTGGTACAAATCCTCTTGAAAGCAGTGAAGAATTCCTGCCCCAGAGTAAAACTTTCTGTTCCTCAACATGTAAGCGGTTGCTGGGAAGGTGAACAAATTAAAATACTGATTCTTGAGTAATTGAGTGTGACTCATCAAAACAGTCTGAATGTCAGATATTTGAGTGCTTCTAGAGTCAGCTTCCTGGGTGCTCAGCATCCCTGTTTGATGCAGACCTACTGAAAAGAACTAAATGCCTTTTCCATTGTTGCTGACACCCACTCAGCCTAGCAGGGTTAGATACCTGTTCCCTTCGTTGCTTTCTGCACCCAGGCTTGTTCTGCCCTGCATGGATGAGCAGCTTCTCTCCCTGTCAGGTGAATGATCATTTTCCTAGAGCCATGATTAATTTAGGATGGGTACCAGGGGCTGTTGTTTGCAGCTCTCCACTGCTTGTTTCCTGTAGCTGCGCTGCCAGCAGTGTGTGCTGTGTTTCTAGGTGGGATGATTTCCAAGCTGCCTAATGCTGAGACTAATGCAGAGATCAGCTGAATAAACACTAAAAACCATATAAATAAAGAAAAGAAGGAATAAAATGAGGGAAAAAAAAAAAGTGGCAGATGGGAGGAGAGCATAAGCTAGAAGATTTATCATGTAACAGCACTATGTGGTAGCAAAAAGGGATAAATCAAACAACAAAATGGTTTATTGCATTTCATTATACACCTTCCTAGAGCCAAGTATAAGATGTACAAAGTGGCTGTTCATTAGTGTCTGGGACTAGGCAGTTCTATTAGCCAAAACCCTTGCTCCTCAGAGTCAAAGGGGTTATGTGCTCCAGCAGACATCTCTGGTTTTTCTTCCTGAATTGTTTGTGAAATCCCACAGTACTCGACAGAAAGCAACATACACTTGTGCCATGAGTCCTGTTAGCAGTCTAGTGTTCCTCCACTCCCCCTCTTTGTAAACTGTTTAATTAGATGTGCAATTACAATAAATAGAAGTAGTATTGAACAGTATGGTCCCAGAAGTCAGTAAAATCACAGTAGGTTTACATGAGTGTAGCAAAGCAGGATGCAGTCCACCTGTCCCATGTACAGTTTGGACTGGTAAGAAAGGATTTATCAGGCTTCCTTTAATACACAGAAGCTGCAAAGGTCTCACATAAGCACATACAGATCATGTGTTTTGTTATGTTTTTCCCAGCTGAAGACTGAACAATCTCTCCTGTCCAATTTGATGTTGTGCTGCCCTTAATCCACTCTGCTCTGCATCCTCTTTGTTATGTAGACTGCAGTTTTCTTTTGCTGTAGCATTAATGCATGGCACATTCATACAAAAAAAGAAGTGCCTTCTGCTCTCTGGGAGAAGCCTGTGCAAAAGAAAAGAGGCTTTATAAGTGTCCCAGAAATTACAACTTTATTGTGGGAAGCATTCAAAATTCAGTGTACTGCAAGGGTCTGCTCAGTAACTGCAGTGTTTGTTCCACTCAGTCAAGTCAGCTGGCAACAGAAAGGCAGCAAAATGAATGATAAGGTAACTGACTGCGTAACTTTTCTCAAATTCTGTTTCTACAGCTGGCAAATATCTCCATCCATGGATGTGACATGGTCAAGACACACTGTGTGTTCACCCCCAGGCTCTTGCTCAAGACTCGAGTACCAAAACAATGGCCAGTGCAGACTTTCACTAAGTAATGAAATTTGTTGCTCTTTTCAAACACTGCGATCTTGCTCCTTCAATCTCACTCTTGGGCCCAACAGCTGTGTTGGTTAAATTACTTTTTTTAAGGGTTGTGATTTTGTTGCTTTGCAGATAAATTTTGGCAGTAGAATACCATTTAATAGAAGAGACTTTTAATGCCAGTGGTTTTAATCAATAAATAGGTGTTTAATTTTGCTGCACGTGGAGGCAATGTAAGTCCCCTCTAGGGAAAGACAAACAGGCATTTTAAATAAACCTCCTGGCACGTTAATAACCCTAAGTCAAGTCTTGGGGTTATCCTAAAGCATTAGGATGTGACTTGTAAAATGTCATCATGCATTGGTAAACCCTGAGCCAACCCCCTGATATTGATACAACACTGCACTTGGAAAATCTTTGGAAGGACAAAGGGAGTGTCTGTACCTACCTGTAAGCCGTGAAATCAGGAGAGGGTGCCAAAGACTTTGATCCAATGTTTCTGTTTCAGAAAGAACCTTCCCTCCAAATACTCTGCTTAGTTTCTTCAGTGACCACCATCGAGAAAATAAAATCCAAGGATTCTGAGGAAGAAAAGAACTGTTGAAAAGAGCTTCTCACTTTTATAGTCTTTTTATCCTTCTGATACAAAACAGAGGTCCCAAAATTTACAGCTGCCGTTCTGATTGTAGAAAAGGTGATCCAGAAAATACACAATTGCCATGAGTTAACCTCACAGTAATTTTTAAAATCTACTATATTATTCCTACAGAGCGTAGGTTGGCTTTTGACAGCATCCTTTTGTTTTCCTTCTGGAAAACCCCAGATGTGCCAGTTGCCAGGGAGGAGAGTAGTGTCAAAGAGTTTGCATCAGTTTGCCAAGTAAAATATTAATCATTGTGGGACCTGATGCCAAAGTGACAAGGCCATAACTAGGAAAGAAAGCGAGACAGCAACACTGAGTTTTACAGCTGCAGAAGACAGAGGCGAGTTTAGATTTTCCTTTTCTTAGCAAGCACAAAACAGCACAGAACTTCTGTGAATTTACCAAAGGATTAAAAGCCCTGAGCGATATTAAGAGGGCATGATACAGCCACACTTCTGCTGTGGAAGGGCCAAGAAAAAAGAACTGCAAAGCAGCTACAACCTCCACGCTGCTGTGACGGTTGGGCTGAACGAGGGGGACAGGCCCTCCTGCCCGCAGGAGCCCCACTGCAAATGCTCTCTCCTGTCCAACAAATTACTGCTTTTGCTGATGGACATTTGTTCTCAGGGCCACATGTGTGGTCCAGGCTGGCTGTGGTGCAGTCTGATGGGCCAGCAGAAGCGACACAGACGTGGCCTGCCCACTGCAGGAAGTGGCTTTGTGGGGGCAGCAGGGTCGGCACCTCTCGCACAAACCTTGCACAGAAAGCACGGCACAACAGCAGGAGTTTTGGTGAGGGGGGGAGGAAACGGCTGTGAACCATGTGAAGGGACAGTGAAAAACCCAGCAGTGCTTGCTGTCAGCGTACCTCTAGGGTACCAGTATTTTGGCCAAGACCCAGCCCCACTATTTTGTTTACCTAATGCCCTCCTCCACTTCCACTGAAGTATGAGCTTATTTCCTGTACTAAACCACTGTGCATCTTGCAGTTAGTTATTAACTGGCTGTTGTGTTTGAAAAAGGGCTTTATTTCAGCAGATAGTGATTCTTCTGTAACCCTCGGCCAGTTCAGGGGAGCTGTGCAACCTGCCAGTGAGACATCCTCTGGCAGCACAAACGCATTTGATTGGGAGGGGATTCCCAATCAAATTGCCTCTCCTTTAGGAGCTGTTTGCAGCCTCTCTTGCTTTCCCTTGGAGTGCAGTTGCACAGCCTGGAGATGAGAAGTTTCTTTGGGAATCCTGCTGGTAGGTTCAGCTTTCAAGTGTGCAAACTCTTGTGGGGAAAGGAATTATTTGCCTTTTCTGATATTGTCTGTTTCATTTAGGAGAAGTTCCTAGGTAAGATTAGTGAACTCCATGTGCTGAAGTGTGAGGGTGGAATGAGCGAGCAGAGGATAGTCTCACGTCACTTGATTTCTATATGCATGAATCTGACTAAAGCAAGTATCAGGGGAAAGGAAAGAGTGTTTGCTTATTCCAATTACTCATGCTTTATTATTTCTTCAAATCCTCTCCAGGCCTACTTGTCTTAGCTGCAAGGATATCTAGCAGATATCTGTTGAGGACTGGGTGCTTGAATAGTCTTTAAATTCCAATTCTACCGCCTTTTAATTCCATTCTTTTTTCCATTAAGATTTTGAGTTCAGGTAGATCACAGTTTTAGAGGGGCAAGTTTGAAATGCCATCTCTCTTTTTCTCTCTGAGTTTAGACTCAGATTAGCCAAAATATCTTGCATCTCTGCAGGGGGAAATATCTTTCCGTAAGGCTCAGGTTGCCACCGAGACCAGGAGCCTTCTCTCTGCCAAATGCATGCTACTTGTGGGTTTTTTTCACCCTAGTCCTCAGTAATTCTTGTGCAAGGGTTGGCCAGCTGTGGTATTTCTGTCCTGTGGCAGCAACCCCCTGGGAAAATTCAGCGTTGGGGATCTGAAGACAGGAGCTTACTCTAGCAGCCATCTAACTCCTAATCTTTAGAGCTGGACAGTAATGACTGATGAGAAGGGGATATTCATGAGGGAAAAACATTTTCTGACCAGCCTTGTTAATTCACAAAGGATCTTGATGAGTTGTTACTCCTGTCTGCCCCATCTTACCTAATTGTGTAAAATGTTCTGTGAACAATGGACTAATATATTTTGATATATTTATATGTTTTGCTTCTTCCTCTCACTCTTCTATATTCTCATTTCCCCAGTAACCTTCCTGCTCCTGTGACAATTTCCCCACTAAATCCCTCAAATTGCCATCTACTTCTGTGGACCATGTGCCACGTCTCCCAACTATGGGATAGGGAAGAGGTGGTAAGTAATAGCTGAGCTCACCACATCATCATTTCTCTGATGTCAGCACCAATTCCTGAATATGCATCAGCTCATTTTATAAAACCTGGGGAAACAATATATATATATCTCTGCTGAAACTCATTTTCCTATCTCTGGTCTTGTTTTCCTGTCCTTTGTCATACTAATGCTAAACACAACTTGATACTGACAAGATACCACAGCAAAAGTGCGGATCTAATATTCACAGAGGTCTGCTAATTTTATAAAGAAACAGCAAAAAGAAAAGGCTGATAATTACAGGCTGATAAATAAATAAAGCTGGTATGTGCCATATTGAAAAGAAATGCTAATAAAACCAGTGTGCTTTGGGGTCCTGAGAATGAATGCTGGGCCATGCACAGCTTCCTCTGCCCATGGGGAGGTAAAATTCAGATTAGAAATTAATCCCTTAGCCAGTTTTGATCTGGTGTTGGGCCAAGTGTGCTAACATTCTAATGCAAGACCAGCACCTGCACTGGTAAGGCGTGGTAAGGCTCTGGCTCCAGGCTGCTTTAAGGGTCCCTCCTCGCTGTAAACATTTACACTGTTCACATGCTTCGCGGCTGGGTGTCACTCGCAGTCCGTCCGATCTGCTGAAGGGAAATAAAACCTCGGGGTGACGGTGAATTGCTAAAAAAACTGAAGAGGATTTGGGCGGGGGGGCGCGTGTTAAAGTTTACCGAGAACCATCGGAGGGAAAGGGCTCCGGCCGCTCTCCTGAGGGGTGCCCGCGGGGTCGGGGTCGGGGCGGGGTCGGGGCCGGCTCGGCGCTGCTCGCCTCGGCGAGCTCGCCTCGGCCTCCGCCGGGCGCCGCCAGGACCAGCACAGCGGCAGCGGCAGCGGCAGCACCGCCCTCGCCGCGCTGCGGGCCGGGCCGGGCCGGGCCTGGCGGCGGGGGTGGAGCCCCGCCCGGGGCGGGGCGGCGGCGGTCGCTGCCCCAGCGCGGGGTGGGCGGGCGGCGCGGCGCGGAGCGGCGCGGGGTGATGGAGCCGCGGGCCCTCGCCGTCTGCGCCTCGGCTCGCAGCGCCTGCTGAGGCCCGGCCGGCCCCGCCGCCACAGCGCGGCCGCCCCTCGCCCGCCGCCGCCGCCGCCACCCTCCCACCGCCGGGACATGGCCACGGAGCCCCCGCGGCCGGCCGGGCTCCCCGAGGGCGGGCGCGGGCGCTGCGCGGGCGGCGGGCGCGGCGAGGCGGAGGCGGAGGAGGCCGCGGCCCAGCCGGTGCTCGGCGCCTCCCCGGGCCCCGGCGCGGCGGGGGGCGGCCGGCGGCGGGCGCTGAACGGCTGCGTGCCGCTATCGCACCAGGTGGCCGGGCACATGTACGGCAAGGATAAAGGCGGTGAGCGGCGGCGGGCGCGGGCGGCGGGCGGGGGGTCGGGCCGCCCGGCAGAGGGGATTCCCCCCAGCGCTTCCCTCCGTTCGTGTGAGCTCTCGCGGACCGGCTGTGCCGGGGCGAGGCTGGCCGCGGTTCGGCTCACGCCCCGGCGGCGGGGCCGTAGCTTGGCGGGGGCCGGTGCGGGCGGGAGGCGCCGTGCCCGGGCTGCCGGCCCCGCTCGCACCTGTCCGCCCGCGGCTGCCGGGCTGTCGGTGCCGGGGCCCGGGGACATCGAGGGGCCGAGGCCTCCCTGCGGTGGAGCTGCCCCGCTGCGCACGCTGGGCCCTGGGACGGAGCGGGGTCACCGCTGCCAAATTTCGCTCCCCGCGCGTTTTGCCTAAATCGCAATAGCCTGTCGCGACGGGATGGTTATGGGGCACCTTTTAACCTTCTGCAGTTCAGCTTCGTTTTGTTAGGTGCCTTTTAAAAAAAAAAAACAAACAGTGGTAGTTCAAGTAACAGCATGCTAGCACCCTCGGAACGTATATAATGGGAAACATACATAAGGGGAACTCCCAGACCTGTGGCCACCAGAAACTTCGGCGAAATATTAGTAAGCAATTGTTAGTTGCTGATTTGATGATCAGTCTGAAGAAATGGCTAATAAGCAGTCTAGTAATACAAATACCCTGAGGATACAGCATTTTCAAGTGTACCTCCACTAGCTTTAAATTCATATCTTAATTTATTTCCACCTTGGGGAATGAGGTGTTGGCCCTCCTGATGAAGGGGCCTTTTGAAATAGACAGTGGTCAGTACCGAAGCGAGTGGTCAAGTTAATGTTGCCAAATGTATTTCTCACCCTTCCAGGACATCACGTTTGCTGTACTCTGAGCCAGGTGGCAGGTACACATCCATTCAACTCCCAGTATGGCCTTTGAGAGTAGCTGTAACAAGTACCTGCTGTCATATTGCCTTTGAACCCTGTCAGTAGGAACCACCCCTGCTGAATAGGCCAAGGGCTGAATTTCAGAACCCTTTAAACCATCAGTGAGCGATATTACAGCACTAATGGTACTGTGAGTTTGTCTTACCCACAGCCTGCATCCATGGTGTGTCTTGCTGCTGATAGTTCCGACAGAAAAGTCATTCTTCTCCTTGACCCTGCCAAGGGCTGAACTTCAGAACCCTTTAAGTCATCAGTGAGTGGAATTACAGCACTAAGGGCACTGTGAGTTTCTGTTATCTACAGCCGGTGCCCGTGGCGTGTCTCACCGCTGATAACCTCCAGAGAAAAGTAATTCTTGTCCCTTGCCCCTGCTGCAGCTGGTGCATTTAAATGTTGGTGGGAGTGCGTTGGATCCTTGAAGCTCTATGTCTTTCTTATTCATAATATCATAACATGAGGTGGGATCAGGCGAAAAAGGCTCAATTCAGGGGGAGCTCAAATTCAGAATGGTAGCAAGCTTTGCAGGCACAGTCAAAAGAGAAATGTTAGTGAGATATTCCAGGATTTTATTTTCTGTATAGTTCTGCTGCTTCTTTAGAAATGTTAAGTTGCTTATCCGTGTACAATACTATTCCCTGTCTGTGCTGAAGAACCCCAGGAAGCCTCCAACCAACATCCATATGTTACCATGATTTGCAGGTGATGGTATGTCTGCCTGTTGTTGTTGTAGATCACAGGGAAGGTTATGGAGTTTACATCTTCGTGGTGAATGTTGTAACGTTGACTCTTCGGTTTCCAGGCCTGCCCCGGTCACAGTGACAGAGCAGGTGCTCGAGTCTATTAAGAAATGCGGAGAATGAGTTTATAAACATCAGTTCATATTAAACTCTTCAAGTAATATGGATCAGTGCAGTAGTGTATGGATTCTATTTCCAGGAATCTTTGTCTGGTCTTTCTGGTCTTGTAGGTTGTCGGCTTGTCTTATCATCAAAGCCAGAATGCAGATTTTGAGGAGTATGTGTTATAAAACCTGTTTTGATGTCGTGATTGTTAGCAGCTTGCATGCAGAACTGTTCAAGTACTTGGTGCACTTTGCAGGGTGGTTTCCAGCACATGCACGGGGGGAACACAAACTATTGTGTCTTGAAGATGCTGTGGTAGTCAGCACATGAGCGTGTGGCAGCATTTTTCTAGCTTTGGAAAGTATACAAAATCCAGCTTTGAGCAAGAAAACATGACTAGAGAACTGTTTTGTGCAAACTTTAAAAGCCACTCTTAGGTATAGCCAACTACTGAAACAACTGTTCTGCATCTGGTGATGGTTTTAACGTAAGTATCTTGGTCTCTGAAGATTTTATTTAGTTTCCAAGGCTGCACAACAGAGCCCATTCATAGATAATGGTTTTTAAGCGATGAAAACACAACAATTGCTGTTACAACTGCAAACTCTCTTTGGGACACAAAGCTCCTGGCTCGTTTTTCTGTGTTTTCTCAAGCAGTAAGCTGAAAGTGGAACCTATTTTGGATACGGATGACATTTTTGCTTCCCTTCTAAACAAAATAGATTACTGTCTGAAAAGCTCTGAATAAATCCTAGGAAACAAAAAATTTCCAGAAGTGGGCTTTCCTTTTTGCCTTGCAACTGATGATCTTGAAACTTGGTGCATATTTCAGAGGATTGCAGTTACTTTTCTTCATCCTTGCCCTCATCCATCTCTTCAGTACCCTTGGGTACTCATTATGTAGTTACTTAGAAATATTGATGACTGGAAAGTCATTAAAGCTGTTTCAGGAGGATATTTTCCAGGTTTTTTCTGTGCAGGCATGATGGAGGTGGTGCCTGGGTGAGGTGAAATTCTGTACTGTAATTATGGGTGATACAAATAGCACGGAGTGCTGTAGGGGCACTACTTCTAGTAATAAAGACATACTCAATCCATGCCACTAGTATAGATGTACATCCACAGGACATTTATTTCTGTTTTAATATAGTAAGAAATGCATTAAATGGGATACTCTTTTTAACTTCCTGGCATTGTTGGAAAAATAATTTATGAGTTATTTAAAAAGGGAGTGTTTATGCAGTCTTAGTGGTGGGGTTTTAGGGGTGGAACTTTTCATGTCAAATTCCATTACTGTGTTGGCCTTGAGCAGAATTAGACCCAGAAAATCATCCAATGGTTAGAAATAGAGGAATGCAAGCAAACCTCTGCAAGGAACTGACAATTTTGACTCTACTGTCTGTGCACTGGGAGCAGAACAGCTTTTCAAATAGGCTGTCCTTAATGGTGAATTCACTATTTCTGGGGGGGGAATTAAAATTCTTCTTAAAATTAAGCCCTGAAGGAAATGCTTCTCTTCTAGGCATACTGCAGCATCCAGATGGGACTGTCCTGAAGCAGCTGCAGCCACCACCTCGTGGTCCCAGGGAGCAGGAGTTCTACAATAAGGTGAGGGTCCTGCAGCGCAGAGGGGGGTGGCTGGCTGGCTGCAGGTGACATGCTGGGGGTGCCACGATTTTATTGAAAAGCCCTGTCTTCCATCTGTGATTAAAGGGATGTGTGTTTGATCCCAACTTTCTCATGTAGCTGAGTGTCTCAATTGCTCACATTTAAATTTGGATGTTTTTCTACTTCTGTCTAGACAGGCTTACTGTTAGCAGTATTTTTCCCATCACTGTATTAAAACCGGTCACTGTATTAAAACTCAGCTCCTTTAAAACTAAATAAAAAGCAAAACTCTCCAGTTGTTTTAACTTTAGTTGTTGTATTTTTCCTGTTGGTCATCTTCAATTTGCTTTATCAGTAGCTTTAACAGCACCAGGCCAGGAAAACTGTTGCTTGTTGTCTTGTGGAGGAAGTAAACTGCTTTTAGAGCCTGTAGTGTCCTACCTGCCTTTGATGGTCTGTCACATGTTTTTTTTCTGTATCAGATTGATATGTCATCCCTCTCCATGCCTTACTAGGTAGAAGAACTATAGAAATCTTCATGCAGGGTGAGAGAGGACCCTTGAGACCCTCTATTTGTTGCTAGTTTTTTGTTTGGTTGGTTTTTGGTTTTTGTTTTGTTTTGTGGGGTTTTGTTTTGTTTTGTGGGGTTTTTTCCCGTAACATTAATTTAAGTTATCAAAAGATCATGCATGTTTTGTGGAAATGTCTCACATGAGAACAAACTAAGCAAGGTGCTTTAAGCAAAGTGTGTGTTTGCATACTGGCATTACTTAAGAATCCTCATGATGGAGCAGAACAGCAGCTCTTGAGTTAGTAGGAGCCAGTTACATCTAAATGTAAATGTATTTCTGAGGTTTCTCAATGGCTGTCATTGAGATGAGGTTAAGAAAGATGCCGTCCAGCTTGAATGGTAACTCTTCAGTAAAAGGAGAAAGCTTGAACAGAGTTCTTTGAGCTCCAGGCTGTTCCCTGAAATCCTGAGGCACAGACAGTAAGGTGCTAACCCTGTCTAAAGCCAGCAGGTAAGAGGGGTGAGCTCAGGCTTTGCTTGGACATAAACATTTCACAGCAGAGACTTTATCATTTTGCCTGTTTAAGCTTAGACTCACACGACAGGCTGTGAGCAAGGCCCTGGACAAAGCCTTTGTGGAAGTGGTCTGTGTTAGTGCCCTTGTTTCTGCACTGTGAAGAAGTCACATCTCAGTGCTAGTAACCTGCAAAGTTAACTTCAATTCTTCTAAAGCTGAGCTGCTTCTGACACTGTGTTTTTTTTTTTTTGGTTATAAACCATCTTGGAAAGGAGTTGGGCACCTCTTGAAAAGTAACAGAGGAAGGGATGATGAGTTGTGCATGGACTAGAATGCCTTTTCGTGGGAGAAGGGAAGGAGTGCAGATGCATGTGTGTCATGTAGGTGAACACAGGGGAATTGCTGGGGATTTGTCACTTCTCAATGATTAACTGCAATCATGTTTACTCTCAGACAAGAGCCGTGTGATGTGGGCTGTAGACGGCTGATCACCACATGTGGTTGTTACAGGACAAGGTTTACTGTGGGTTGGGAGGTTTAGGGTAAGGTACAGTTTCATACACAGCTTGAGCTAATCCAATAGCTCGTTGCTGCCAAGAGGGAAATGCCCTCCTTCCCATTCCTGCATTTAACCTTGCACTGGGATAGTGCTTTTTGGACATCGACGAACCCATCTGATGTGTTTAAAAGATGGCAAAACTTCCTTGTCTTGGTAGCCTTCTGCCAGTTTTTGTGACTAAACTGGTAAGCAATGGGAACAACAGTGAGCCTGCCCTGCTTTGGTGCCTGAGTTTAACCCAGTTGTGGGCTATAATCAAAGATGTGTTATCAGCTTGGAGTAGGCTGAGGAGCCTCCAGAGAAGGAGGAGGGAAGAGAATATTACCACTCCTTGAGGCAGGGAGTTGTTTACAAGGTGGTCAGGTACAGGAGATGGTGAGGAACAGTGCAGAAATGAAACAAGACTGAGTCCCAAGCTCTCACTTTGTCAGGGCTAGACAGCAGGTCAGTTGATAAGATCAAACCAGGTGGTTGTCCATTAGTATATGTGGATTGATTGTGATTTTTTTTTTTTCTCTTTTTCCATTTCTGCCCCTGTGTCTTTCATGTGTGCTCAGAACTGTTTTGTCTGTAGTGGTGGATCGGTTACTGCTCCCTTTGCATGCCAAAGTGAAGATTAGTACCCTATGCCTGGGTCAGAAACAAGTGGGGTATCTTTACTTACGGTGAAGCAAACCTTGTCTGAAGTAACTGAGAAACTCTGTAGTTTATGGTAGCAAGAAGAGAGCATGTCTCAGCTTCAGCTGCATGAGTCAACTGGAGAGCAGCTCTGACAGATCTGAAGCAGAAGTGTCTTCCAGGAACCAGGAAGTGGTATTTCAGCGTGCACTCAGAGTGCTTGTGAGCTGAAGGCTGCGGGGAATGTGTCATCATAAAAGATAATGAGGCATTAAGAGACAACTTAGACTAGAACTCATTGATATATTTAATGTGATACCAGGTAGATACTATCTTCTGTTTGGACCAAGAAAGTCTTCTCTTCTGAAACTGCTGGATTTGCTTGCAGCTGGATGTGTGAACATGACAGGGATAAAAGTCTGCATCAGTGAATCAGCAGAAGTTTTTCCTGTGGTTGTTGATGGGTTATTTTCTGTTGAACGTGAGGCTGAGTGCTTACTGGTAGAGCCCAAACAAAATGGGCTTCCATTTGTTGACCAAGACACTGTAGTGCAAAACACTAATAATGATCTGAAACCTGCTCAGGAGAGGGTGGCAGCTGCAAGTTCGGAAGAATTTCACAGGTCTCTATCAAAGTGGAAAAATGGAAGATCTCTCAGTCTGCTGCCAGGTTACCTTTCTGCTTTTTGTCATAGTATATTCTCAGCTTAGCAGTTAACAAAACCAAACCAACGCACCAACCCACCCTCTAAATACAGGTCTTTTTTCCTAAGAGATTAATTCACTGAGTGAATCAAACTTTTACCTCTACTACAGCAGTTCTGTACTGATGGGGACGGGACTTGCCACGACTCCGTGTAATGAGGGAGGGGAAGAACTGGGCATGACAAGATTATCGTGAATACCTTCTGTGATAAAATGCAGTAGAACAATGAGCTGTTTGTAGTCATTGTTAATAACTTACTGTGCTTTGCTTAACTTATCATTGGAGTGTGACTTTCTAGCCACAATGTCCACTTGCTGTTGAGTTCTGTAGGTCTGAGTAATTATCAAAACAATATCATTTTAATTTTGTTCCTGCGAACTCCCTTCCTGTACCTGAGGGCATGAACCCCTTGCAAACATTGCCTGCATAAACACAGGGTGTTTTGCCAGGTATTCTGGTACCCTTATCTGGGTGAAAAAAATCGGAGTTTTTTTAACCTTGAACAGCTACAGAATACTTTGTTTTCAACAGGTCTGAGCAGCAAGAGAACAAAACAAGTTGAAGTAAAAGGATTGGGGTTTTTTAAGGACTATCTACAGTGCTGATCAGTTGTTTCTGTGTAATGTCAGTGCTCTGTGAGAACATGCAGGTGGAGACATTCCACCTTTGAAAGGGGTTTCGGGGGGAGCAATGTACAGAGATGTGGGAACAGGGAAATAGTGTTGTTTGAAAATGTAGTAAGAGACCCTTTTCAATTAGAATAAATTGGTAAAAGGCAGTTGTGTGTTTATAGTAGGCTGCCTACACAAGCATGCAAAGAAATCCACAAAAGTGGGCTGCTCCTCAGTGTGTTTTGGGACTTGGCTTCAATGTGCTTTATGCCAGGGCCCATTTATCTGTGCTGGAATAGTCTGATTTAGTTCAGCAGTGTTGGAGGAGGGAGGAAGCCTATTAGGCCTCCTACAGTGATCTCATGTGGCAGATGAGTTGGGAACTGTGAGAACAGCGGCCTTGGAAAAGTTTAATACAGGTGAATTAGGTAACCCCCTGCTTAGCTGGGTGTGGAGCTCCTGTCTCAACCGACCTGGAGAAGAGAAAGCTTTGGGGTCACATTTAGAGCCTCTTCCAGCGCTTAAAGAGGTTCCAAGAGAGCTGGAGAGGGACTTTGGTTAAGGGCATGGAGTGACAGGACAGTGGGAATGGCTTCACACTGACCAAGGGCAGGGCTAGATTCAATATTGGGAGGTATTTTTCCTTGTGAGGGTGGTTATTCTATGAAAACTGATGTAGAGAGAATTTACAGTGGTTGAGGTTACCTTTGTGACTGCAGTTTCCTACAAGCTGTTAACCACTAAGAGATGGAGTGTTTCCTCTGCTCAACAGAACAAGAGAAGGTGGGTGAAGTGTTTTGAAGCAGCTCTTTCACTTCTGATCCTGACTTTCAGTCAGTGGGGCTGTAAACCTTTTACTGTGCATAACTGATCTGAGCACGGCCTGCTGAAGTTTTCAGGGTTGCTAATGCCACAGCTCATAAACTGAGATTTAACGCTTCACAGATCCATAAAAGTTCCTGTAAACTTTTATTTGAACTGCCCTTCTGCTCTCCTGTGTGATACTTGGGGTGTGAGTAGTACACCTGTCCCCCTCACGCTGCCTAGCTCTGGCCAGTGCTTGTAAACCAAGGGAGCTGGTTGACCCCGTGTAGCACTGTGAAAAGATAATTGAGCTAATCACCTGGCTCTTCTGGATAACAGATCTTCCACCCTTTGCCAATAAGCAATGGATCTGTTAGCTGCTGGGGTGGTATTCTGAGTTCAGGGATTGAGCCCTGCTGACATCGAATGTGAATGCAAGGAAGCTCTTACCGCTGGAGATAACAGAAAATAGTTTTTCACTTTTGTCACATGTCCTGAAAACAAAGCCAGGATGTCAGAGACACAAATAGCTCCAGCACGTAAAAGAGATTTGCACTGGTTAGGTGAGAGTTAGGCCCTTGAAAGCTAGGAACAAATGGTTTCAGGGTTGCCTGTGCAATTGTTCTGAACTTTTCTTGGATGCATTGTAATGCAGCTTTCAATAGGGCCATGGC